GTTGACACGTTGATCAAGGTACAAAGCTTTGAGGCCGTAATACTAGGGAAACAATGTTGTGCTATTCAGACGTTGTTCCACACGACTTAAAGGGCCCAAATCATGCCCCAAACCATAACACTGCCCCCACCAGCTTGAAGGGTTGTACTCATGCATGTGGGGTGCATGCTTTCATGCTGTTCCCACCAAATTCTCACTCTGCCATCTGCATGATGCAACTGGAAACGTGATTCATCGCTTTTTTCCAATGCTCGACTGTCCAATCCTTGTGTTCCTGTGCGAATTGGAGACGTTTTATCTTGTTAACGGCAGACAACAAAAGGTGTTCGAACAGGCCTTCCGCTTCCATATCCCATACGATGCAGTGTACGGCGAACTGTGCGTTCAGAGATCATTTGAGAGGATCCCTGATTAAGATCTACAGTAATTTGATGCGCTGTTGCCCTTCTGTTGTCTTGTACCAGTCTTGCCATTCTCCGTTCTGCCCTAACATTGATTAGTCACTGACGGCCACAATTCGCTGTTTTGCTGATACTCGCTCCATGGCTCCGAGTGCCAACCATCATCCCACGTTCAAAGGCCGTTAAATTGCGTTGTTTCCCCGTATCTTCAGAAAAAAAAAATTTATAATGGTCTGGCCCTCTGGCAACTTCAGCGCAAAATTATAGCTAATTTGCCTACAAATGTCATGTGGTCATAATAATCCGGCCAGACACAGACACACAGTGTAGCTGCACCCTGAGGTTGTCACAGGAAAAGACTCGCATGACGCTGGCCATCATTTAGCCCGGAAGAGGAACAGCACCACGAGTCCGGGGACCAACGCTGGACAACTGCATTTTTTCTTATTTCATACAGAGGACGAGAATTTTTAGCAGCAGAATCACGTACGGTATTATATTGCAACACACGGAGCATCCAAACACATTTCACAACCACGGCTCTTTTGTACAAATACATTTTAATGCATTTTAGGTAAAGACAAAGAGATTTAGTGGTTTGCAAATTACAAATAAGTAATTCACAAGCTCAACTACCTGCAATCCTAACCAGTGAGAATGTACAATACAAACTACAGTAAACAAACAAAAGATACAAAATAAAAAAAGCAAAACCAAAAAGATAAGTTACAAAATTCGATATGCTAAAAGATTTGAGATCTTTACATTATGCCCATTTATTTTCTACTGGTGTATACAAAACAGGATTTACTGAACACCATGAGTATGCATAGTCAGACTATATGATATACCGTACAAAGTCTTTCAGCGTTATTCAGTTCAAGGTGCTGCAAAGCAAATGACTGCAAAGTGGGATTCCCCACAGCAGCCCATCAGAGTTCAGTTTCCTGTCATTGGGTCAGTGAACGTTGATGGGTTGCTGTGGGTTACATAATGCTGCACATCACTCAACCTCATTAGATAGTTGGAGTTTAGCCTCACTTAATGTATCTGAAATGTTTCTAGAGAACTTGTATGTGAAATAGAACATTTATTTTCCTGCGATTTAACCCCTAGAAGGCCTGCAGTAATCCTGCCATGACCAGAACTATGTATGTATGCAAAGTAGGCATTAATACCATTCACGAATATTTCAGCAAATGTGTCCTTAGCGTCTAGAGCACATTGGGTCAGTTCAGACCTTACCCGTCAAAAACTGGGCACAAGTGACTTTTAGGGTACAGAAGTATGTAAAAAACAATGGTTTTCAGTCAAGATGTATTTATTAGTAACACTTACATTCTCCTGAACTGATCACCGAAATTACAGCTCAGAGCAAATGTAAAGTGAGCTATAAAGGCCATTATTAGAATGCTTCTCCCCAATGATCAGTAGAGGCCGGCATACAGTCCAAGTACCATTCCCCATATGTCTGTGCACTGGAGAAGCCATATCAAGGGAATCCAGCTGGGGAATGATTTTACTGGTTTACAGTCAGCTGACACAGGGGTATTCACAAATGGGTGAAGAGTTTGGAGAAGTGAACAATCTAGGACAACATAGCTGATTAGGAAAAATTCTCCATTCAGCTCACTTTCCAGCTCAGCAATGTTGTCCTAGATTGTTCACTTCTCCTGCCTTCTCCAAACTCTTCACCCTTTAGTTACAGATCATGTTGTCACAGCTACTGATGGCCTCAACTCATATTTCAGCAGACTTACACAATTTATAGGCAGACGATTCATCAAACTTTGCTTTCCCTGAACAGTGACTGTATTGTAGTTAGGTCACTGCCATTAAATGGTCTTAAAGTGAAACTCTAGACAGCATGTCTTTGCTTTGGATGGAGAAGGGTTAGGTCTTCTGTCTGTGTTTACATTGGGGAGGATTTCCACTTACTTCCTGTCCCAGTGACAATGGACGTTCTGTCTTAGTTGCTCTTTAAGTTGATGAGTATTGCCTGGTGGCTGCTAGAATGTTTGGTGCTGTTTGGTAAAGCTTTGAAAAACTGTTTAAAACAGCTTACTGGAGCAGATCTGATGTTGGGGGTCCTACAGATGGAGACGCCCATGTATCTGCAATTTTTCACCCCGGTGTATTCTCACCTTCGCCACTGCTCCATGTGCCTGTTGGAGCCCGGAGTGCAATTCTTCTGTATGCTTGGTGTTGGCTCAGTCACAACATGCACAGGGTTAATGACTGGCTCCCTCCGCTATGTGTGAGTAATCAAGCCAGGCCTGAGCAATGCATCCTGGGAAGAAGGTCCCCTTACCCAGAAGCGCTTGGTACTTCTGAGGGCTTCAACAGATGAGTGGATCAGTGAAGTATACCTGAATACCACCACTGAACACACAAATCCCTTTTATAACCACATGCTACATGATGAGAGATGTACTTGGGTCAGCATTGGAGATGCATGCTAGTCTTCACAGCTCATACACAGCCATGATCATCAACTGGATTGCATCCCATAATGCTGACTAAATGGGCCATTTATTACTTGGGAGTTAATCCTTTACTATTTAACAGTTTGACATTCCTCTCTCGCTCTGCAATAGTGAACAATGTACTTTTATAGCCCGTGATTGAAAAGTTCAGTTGTGGGATTTGAGCTTATTGAAGATCAATCACAAAGTCAGCAGGCGTAACCCATTTCCAGTAATATATTACTCTGTGCACTGTGGGCATTAGGAGGTTACCACCAAGAGCTGCACAAGGTTAATATTTTATATCCTCAACGTCTATCCATCCCCTACACACAGTAGGGCAGCTGCATCCTCACTCAATGAGGTGTGTGGTGGGAAGAACAATTTGCCACAAATACCCGCCGCCATGATCTGAGTGCTCTTATCTCCGGGCACAAAAATGTTCACTTAAATATACTCCTGAATAACCACAGAGGATAGAAATCCACCGTGTCTGCACCAAATACATTGACAAACCCAGATAACCAGATACAAGTAGCAGTGACATCATCACTGTACAGAGAGCAGTGCTGTGGGAGGGACCCAGTAGGCCCCACCCACTACAGCCTGCCTGCAGAAAACTACAAAAGGGGGTGGATACAAGACCAGTCACCCTGCACAGAGAGAGCAGCAGAGGCAGAATTTCCCACTGGATTACTATAGAAATCTGGAAGAAACACACAAAGCTCACCAAGATTGAGGAATAAATGTGTGTCTTGTATTTAGACAATATTTACTTATTGTGGAGTTCAGGTTAAATCTATCCCTACACCCAAATCACTAGGACAGGAAGTGAAGGGAAAATGCCCGACATGGATGGAATATTAAAAGCCACTGTCATGTCTATCCCTTCCTCACTAATGTTGATGTCTTTTTACACATTGAATACATTTCACAACTTCCTGTGCCTCTGATAGGAAGTGAGGGGAAATCTCTAACATGAGCACAGACAAAACATCTAATGATCTCCCACTCTATCCAAAAAATGGAAATGTTTTGGCTGGAGTTCTGGTTTATTAACCATCTTATGATGTATCCAAGTTCAGTCCCTCTTATGCATTTGAAGCACTTTACCAAAGGGTGTGTAGAAGGCTTGTACAAGGGTCTCCCTTCCATTCACTTATACTGCTGTGAGAACAAAGAAATACCTGCAAGACATTCCTTCCTTCAGACAGTTACAGCCCACTCGTCCTTACTGGGGCCATCTGTTCCAGCTCTGGTTACCCCAATATATTGATTTGTTTATTCAGAATTGAAGCCATCAGGCTCATCCACCAAGACAAAAGGGCAGCAACGCTTAGTAACTAGTGACCGAAATGTCTTCAGATCCTGGCAGCTGCTATAGCTTCCTGCTCTTTGCCTTAAATAAAGGAATATAAGCTAAACTGGGGCAGCGATATATGTACAGCAGCACTCCCCAACACCGACCCTATAGAATCTGAGCATATAACTGTAGGCACTGAAGACAAACCTCAAGGTTTCCCGATGTGAAGCGATGAGTGAAAGATTAACAAGCCATTTCACCCAGCTCCACAGACTTGCTCCATTAGGCACTGGAACGTAATGGTTTAAGAGGCAAATAGGACATTTCCATGGCTCAGCACTACACAGAGGTCCACTGCGGTCTCATTAACAGATAAAGTATTCCAGGCTTTTATGAGGCAACCGGTCACGGATCACAATCTTCCATATCCTGCTCCATACTTTGATCTTATACAATGAATATGAATCATAACTGTAAGACCAGATAAAAAAAAGGACGTGTTGGGAAAGAAAATGACCTCTCCACATACTAGAGAAGGAGATATGTGTATTAAATATATAATCAAGTCACAATAAAACAAATCAGAATACTGATAAAGTCCCCCACAAGTCAGTCATTTCTGTATATATTATCTGGATCACACAATCAATATTTAACTACTGAAAAGTAACACTGCGATTGTGGAAAGTCAGTCGAAGGAACAATCCTGTAGCCAGCATTGTGACCACTTGCAGGTTCCAGTGTCATACAAGAATCAATGTACTCAGCATTAGCTAAACACTAACTTGTTAAGTGAGGGCTACCGTCACAAGAAGCCATGCACTGACAGAAGAGTGTTGTATGGATTCAGCATGTCACGCAGGTAAGGATACAGTCCCGGCACTTCCTCTAGACAGGATCAGCTGGGAAATATCACAAGTGTTGTGTTCTCGGTCTCTTCTAGTGATGATTGTGCAGTAACTGCTTTCCTTTGGTTTACAGCCAGAAACGGTGCTGAAAGCGGCAGAGTTCATCGTGTTTCTCCTTCACGGCCAGTCTTGACCTTTCCCTCAATGTAGCGGGTTATCAAATACAGAGTCTGGGACAATGGAAATCTTCAGCTTCTTCTCTGGCCAGCTATATTCCTTGGGCAATTTCATCTGGGAGGTGAGAACATTAAAAGCAGTCAGATACCAATTTTCAAACTGGGGGGGGGGGAGGAAGAGAATTTCATAAAGCAAATAATACATTAGTGCCACCGCAGAACATGTGCCCTCTTATCCCATGGCCAAGGTTCCTTTACAGCATCTAGAACTTGTCCCCGATAATCAGTTCCCCATAAACATCCAGATTCTCTCTTTACAGTGCTGGAGAACAAAAGCAATTATGTGATTGGTTGCCTTGAGGAAGCGCAGACTGGTGCATCTTCCTTCAGACACCTTCTTAAATGAATGCAAGAGTTGCGACACCTACGGTCATGATCCATTATCTCCATGCCAACGCTTTTGTGTATAACAGGAATCAGTTGGCACCCCTTGGGACATTTCAGCGCAGCAGTTATGGGTAAGTGGTAAAAGGGGAGATCACAAAGAGCATGCAAACTGACAGCACAGGAAATAAACTGAACTGTTACGTTACGAATTTCGTTCCGTTACGAACATTCGTTATGATGAAGTTAAAAAGCAAAATACCTTTGTTAATATTGGAGTTGATGCCTTGATAGTAGTTTTTTTTTATACGAAATACGAAATTCGGATCCGAAATCCGCTAACGGAATTTCGTATTTTGGTTAAAAAAAACAACTACCATCGACTCAAATATTAACAATGGTATTTTTGCTTTTTGCCTTCATCATAACGAATGTTCGTAAAGTTATGAAAATGTGCCAAAACTAACGAAAATTCGTACGAATGCGAATTGAGTTTAGGACACGAATTACGAAATACGAAATAACGGATATTCGGAAACAAAACACATTTTTTGACGGCGCACAAGTCTAATCCAAACTAAAAAAAACTAGCCTTTCTTACAGTTCCTTATATACTATATGGTCAACCTGTCCATCACAACAATATGAGTTTGTTAGACATCCCATTACAAAACCATGGGCATTAATTTTGAGTTGCAACCCCCCCTTCCCCCTTTTGAAATACTGTATAATATTCCATAGTCCGTGTATATTTTATATGCAATTGTTGCAACTAAAAAAAATCCAAAGTGACAAATCGTGTTGTATTTATCACACCAACATAACAATTGTGTTTTATTTATGAAAATATATTTACATATTGAGGGAGGTTTACAAACATAGGAACAGATTGTAGGCCTTTACTGAAAATGTTTATACAACAAATCTGTAATGTATATATTCTCTAGTCCTTAAAAGGAGAAGTTCACCTTTTGCAAAAATTAAAGAAATGCAAAATTATTATATAAAAAAATCTGCATTTCTCTAATATTTGCATTCAAGCCTGGAAAGCATTGCAATAGTGATCACTCAGCTCAGGCTTCTGCACATTCTCTCCCAGGCAGAGCTCCATACTGAGGTACAGAGTTTCAGTTAGGAGAGATGGGGAAAAGGACGGCTGGACTTCAAACTGCATTACATCACCTCATACGGCGCCAAGCGTCCTCGGTCCAGGTAGATGCGGGAATATGGGCAGCTCTACCTAGACGGAGGACGCTTGGACGCTGTGTGAGGTGACGTAATGCAGTTTGAAGTCCAGCCGTCCTTTTCCCCATCTCTCCTAACTGAAACTCTGTACCTCAGTATGGAGCTCTGCCTGGGAGAGAATGTGCAGAAGCCTGAGCTTTGCAGCTGGGATCAGGTGATCACTATTGCAATGCTTTTCAGGCTTGAATGCCAATATTAAAGAAATGCAGATTTTATCATATATTATTATGCATTTCTTTAATTTTTGCAAAAGTTGAACTTATCTTTTAACCGCTTCCCGGCCGGCCGTTGTAAAAAAACAGCCGGCCGGGAGCTCCCTGGATGTAGTAGCATTTTGAGTATGGTAGTTTTTGCGATTTCGCGGGTGCGCGCAATTTTAAAGCTTGACATGTTTGCTGTCTATTTACCCGACTTGACCCCGTCTTTTATATTTTACAAGAAAATTGGGTAATAATGAATGTTTCCTAACAATGTAAAAAAACACTTTTTCCCCCAAAATTTTCAGTAATGTTTTCTAAATATAGTAAAAAATAAAACCCCCGTGGTGATTAAATACCACCAAAAGAAAGCTCTATCTGTCCCCCAAAAAATTGTATAAAATTTGTTTCAGTACAGCGTTGCATGACGGAATAAACGTCAGTCAAAGTACCGCAGCGCTGAATACTGAAAAATGGCCTGGCCAGCAAGTGGTTAAAGCGTTGTGCAATTCATCTTTGGGGCCAGAAAGCTTTACTATATGTTTGTATAGATATTAATCAGCATATTTGTAGCCTTTAATTCACTTTCTCCAGGGTGATCATCTTCTTTTGTTTCATGCATTACAGACGCAGTGCCATCTCTGACCACTAGAGGGAACCTCACCGCAACTGTGAGCACATTTGTCCCCCTCTCATTGCATAATGCACCTATTCTGCATTGTCTTTAAACCCCCACCATCCTCGGGACAGACAAACCACGAGTGTTCTCTGATAGGAGTGGATGCCGCTGACACAAGTGCGAACCCTCAGAGCGTTCTGTAATTCAATTCATTGCAGATCAGCAGTGATATTAATACCCTTAGCAGCAACATCATTTTTCTAAGTTCTAATTTCTTTAATAGAGCAAATGAGGCTCCATTACATAGCAGGCATCAAACCTTCCAGTGATATTACTACTTTGTTATGTATTCAGCTTGCAGGCTTACGAGTCTTTAACACGGGTTAATAAATGAATAATTACGAATGCGTGACCCTTTTACTGAACAGGAGAAACGGCACACTCCAGCAAGTTCCCATGTTTGAAGAAAAGGCCTGGGGCTGCAGTGACTGCAGAAAGGCTGGCGGTTTAGAGAAGCCTTTCCTCCCCCTCACTTAGACAAATGAGAGCTTACTTCCTCTGGAGAGCTTAAATCTTCTAAGTCTTCCAGCATCCTTTCCACCAGCTCCTCTGTCAACAAAATCTGGAGAGATAAAACAGTTTCAGCCTTTTATTCTCAGGTTTCTATGTAATTGGCAACTATTTGATCTGAGGTTCAGCAGCAAGGGAGGACATAAACCTATCTGCACAAAACTCCAAAATGCTGCTAGACTCTGCCAATTAGAATATGGTTCTGTGGATACATCACGGAGCATTCTCAGAGTTCTGACAAACAAAGGCCATTTTGTGCCATTCAGCAATAAGGAGCCTGCAGCCAATTTAGCTCAAAATGCTGCAGGATATCATTATATGACCCCTTAGCATGTCTGCTACTGCTGTGTGCACACAATGGCTCTCAGAGCATGCATTCAAATTTAAAGAGACATCGTCACCTTGCCCATGGAAGGAAAAGTGACAGTGTTTCTGCAAAGAGCCTACCTAGTTACCTTGTACTCGCCTTGCCAGTGCTCCCACGCAGCTTCTTTCCCCTCCACAGCCAGCAAGAATACCCAGCACATCCATGTATGGAGGAGCATATGACCTGTGACAGTGTCTGGGCCTAGCAGTCAATCACTGGGCCTAAACACTGTCACATGACCAGGAGTGATGTCACCACTGTTCTGGGTCACTGACGCTGCTAAGGAGAGTATACGGGGGATCATGGAGCACCTTTTCAGAGACAGACACGGTCACCTTTCCCTGCATGGGAAGGTGACAATGTCTCCTTAAAGCTGACTTGTTGCTTGTGCATTGCAGCATATTAGGCATGTGCAGGAACAGCACGTATGTATTTAAAGCTGAACTCCAGGGGGTGTGTGTGTGTGTGTGCGTGAGGGTGTGTGTGTAGCTGCAAATATACGTTAATCTGAAGTCTATTATTACTATATCTCTTTTTAAAGTAAAGTGAAAGATGAAAACAATTCCCGACAGGCAGCTCAGTTTTGGCAGAAGAGATTGTGTAAGTCTCTTCTGCTAAAAATCTCCTACCTGACTGCCATCAGAAATGTTAACTTTAAGAGGTCAAAGATGCCGAACCTGGAAGAAGGTGGAAGCACCGGTGCTAGAGGGGAGAGCAGAGAGTGCTGCACTGGAGGGGATCACTTTACAAGGTAAGTTAACCCTTTTTTTTTACCCCACTTCACTTCTGCTTTACTGCTTGTAATAGGAGCACAACACGGGGCTGGAAATTGCCAGCATCAAGGCACTTCCTGTTATGACAACCAGTCACCCCAGCGGGCTGCCTATGCTCAGACGAACCGTTGCAGTACTGCCCCTAGAAGTTCTGTGCAATCACTGCCTATACTAGGAGCTCCTCTCCAGAGCAAGACGGGATGTTTTCTGCCTGTCCCTGCCTACTGCACAGTACCCCCCTTTCCCCAACTATGTAGCATCTGCACACTGTGATAGCTGATGAGTTGAAAAGGTGAAACCTCTGCTGCCAGCAAGGTGCTGAGATTCCAGTGACGCAGGGAAGAGATGCTGACAGAGGCTTTACTGCTCTTCACCAGTACAAGGTGCTAAATGTGATTCTAACAGACTGTTGGAATTGTGAGACTGCTGAGATTGCTGCTATGAAAACTTTGCCTACATCTGACAGCGGATGAGTAAAGGCCGAGTGAGAAAAGCCTCTGCACCCTCCTGACAGTGGAGGTTTCACCTACTTTGCCCCACTTTACTGCTCAGCTGTCAGAAATGTGCAGTGTTACAGTATGAACACATCACACGTCACTGATTAAGAACCAGCAACGCTGGTATGCGTACACTACATGCGTTCCCTATCACCGCTCACAACACAGCCAAGTTCACACCCTAGATACGGTCCTCTGTATGGACGCAGAAGGGATATGTAATCTTACAGGGCATGTCTAAAGCCCCTTTCTTCATTTCTGATCAGCAGGGGATCCACGATTGGAGCAGTTCAGAACAGATGTCACCATTGTGACATCCATATCCATCCATGTTTTTCCCTCCATCTTGCAATGGAGAAAAAAAAAAAAAAAATCGACTCCACATGTTGGTCTATGGGGAGTCGAATGTAAACAGATCCGCCAGGATCAGGTCTGCCCAAAAGGGAACTCTGTACCGTTTGCTCTTCCAAACCAGGCTGGAGCCGAGGGTAATAGGATGTAAACGGACGCACGTTCATTCTGATGTGGCGTCCCATAGACTAACACTGGACTGAAAAACGGACAGATGGACCTGATCAGAATGCCTGTGTGAAGATACTCTGAAGGACACACAGCCATGTAGACCTATCCCCAGCTGGTACCGAGAAGAGGAACTTTTATGACTAACATCACAGGAATTTTCTGGTGGAAGTTTCCTCTGAATTGAAGAAGGTTCATAATCAGGAAGGAAGTTGTGCTTGTGTCATTACTGCTCCCTGGAGTTCAGCTTTAAGGTTGTATGGTTTCTCCCGTCATTTACCTTTAATAAAGTTGCAAGGAGCAAGTTGGATGTAAACTTTTAGGAGTCTTACCAACTCAATATATGGCACAGAACATGAGTACATGTACATTGGAACCCTCCTGGCACTCCCAGCATGCTTAGCACCCAAATGGCCATGAGGTGACAAACTGAGCTTACATTGGGAGCTCTTGATACAGGAGAAAGTGTCTTCTCAATAAAAGGATGTGCAGTAGTGACCATACAATAAAAGTCACCCTTTGCACTCTGCACTATGACTAGGAGATTGCAGCTCTGCTTAGATATCAGGATTTAGTCTAGGGAGCTATTAGGAATGGATTTACTTACTTGCAGCCAAGGCCCATGTGCTGCATACGGATGCTCTTCTGTAGCAAATGCTCCTTCGACCCCCGTAGAAACAAAAGTGATGGCCGTGTCACCAGTAATACTTTTATAAGTAAAGTGCCGTCCGTGTAACAGTCTACCCCTGGACAGGAGGAGAAAAAGAAATAATGACAAGAACGTTACAGATGATACAGAAAGATATGAAATCATCAATTGTTCTTCATTAGATATAAACCGAAAGTGTAAGTTCACAGCTGAAGCCACTTCAGGACTCGGTTTCCAGAACCTTCCTCTAACTGCATGGCAGAGAACCCAACAATGTCTATCTACTGAAGCTGCAGAATGGGCGGGTTAACCCCTTCATGACTGAGGCCCTTTTTTCATTTTTTGCACCCATGTTATATTCCACATTTTAGGCCTGAAAATTATGTAAAACCCCCCAACATTATATATTTTCTGAATGCCAAGACCCTATAGAATAAAATGGTGGTAGTTGAAAATGTTTATGTTGCGCAATATTAGCGCAGCTCCTTATTATACCCCAAAATACTGGCCCTAGAATTATTGCTCTCACTCCGGCGTGCGCGGCGATACCCAACATGTGTAGCGCGTTCGTCGTTTTCATGCGTAGGCGCACCCGACGTGTGTTTACGTGGCGACGCGCGTGCTCGCGGGGGACTTTTACATTTTTTTTATTATTATTAGATTTATTTTATTTCATTTTAAAAACTGTTTTTTTTTTTTACTTTACTTTGACTGCTATCACATGGGGGGGCTTGTGACTTGTGATAGTAGTCTTCTTCGGGACACAGAAGCGATCTGGTGACAGGTAAGTCGCCAGGATCGCTTCTGTTGTAAAGCTGACAGTCGGCTCTACAAATTTAAACAGACTCCTGGCGGCAAAAGTCGCCGGGAGTCTGTTTAAACAGCCCCGATGCTGGCAACGTACACTGTACGTCGTCAGTCACGAAGGGGCTAATAGCTCCCAGACCAGGGAGTAAAAACAGCCAACTGGTGAGACGTGTTTGTATGGAGGTGAGCCGAGGTCTCTGAACAGAGATACTTATAAAGTGAAGCTGTGACTACTGGCTTTGGTTACTGCTGCTTTTACACTCAGGATTATCATCCTGATCCCTACTTTATTAACTACAGAGTTAGTGACATGACACAAGCATGGAGGATGGAGTTCCGTCTACCTGGAAACTTCTTACAGGTCTGTGACTCACTGCGCAGTGGAGTTTGCCTCTAAAAACAGCACACGGAGCCGACATATTTTGATCATTGATCTTCTCAAATGTATTTAAAGCATTGTCAAGAAAGAAAAAAAAAATACATCTCCCCATTTCATCCCATTTAAAAAGCTGAAAGTGCAAAGTATAGAAAGATACCTGTTGATCTGCCAGGAATGCAGCATGCTCATAACTTCCTGTCTAAACTGACAACACAGAGCTTCAGCACTGAAATCCCAACAAGCATTGTCAACACTGCCTGCTGAACTCCAGAACTCCATGTTCTCCCCTCTATTTGCCCTACTTGATCTTTTTCCTCAGCAGCACAATGATACTGCAATGATGCTCAAAACACTGCGAATAGGGAAAGGGATCTCGGCAGATATAGTTACATGGCATGCCCTCATTGATAGGAACCGAGCTCCCAGCAGCCAGGGAGTAATACAATCTGTTTCCCACTACAGGGTAAAAGAACAAGAAAAATAAGCTGGGACATGTTACTTGGGTCATGCCTATACAAATCCTTTAACACTTGGCCTCAGAACACTACTGACCGTGACCAGCAGAGGTCCCTCTGGCTCCAATCAAGAGAACCTTGCTGAAATGGGGAAGAGTATGTACAAAAGTAAAAAAAAAAACTAAGTCTGAAGTAGGAGGGCACCTATAGAACTAGCATAGCCTGAACCCTACCTGAACCCTACCTGAACCCTACACCACATCTGCTCTTAGTACATTGGTTTTTTTACGCACAACTGCACACTTTATATGCAAATACATTCCCAAATACATATTTTCAGTAAATGACGCTAACTGACCAGCTTCAATGCTGCACTGGTTTGACAACCATCCCCCAATTTGTTTACTTCGTAGTTACTGACAAATGTGCAATGTATATTTTTCCCTGCCAACAATAGGACCTGCAACCACACGGGTATCCCTCCAGAGAAACAAATCATTAATGTGCCAGGAAGAATGACATCCATCACTTTATACCAGGGGTGGCCAAACTCCAGCCCTCCAGCTGTGGTGAAACTACAAATCCCATGATGCATCTCTCTCCGGGAGTCATGTCTGAGAATCTTGCAATGGCTCATGGGATTTGTAGTTCCGCCACAGCTGGAGGGTCCGGAGTTTGGCCACCCCTGCTTTATACACATCATCCCTCATTCTATCCAACTACAGCAATGTACATGGACTGCATCCCAGTCCTTAAAGAACAACTCTGGGCAGAAATATTCTTAACCCTTCCAGTCAGGCTACCCCCACACTGCAAGGGTTAATTGCTCGTTTTCATCTAGGGATTAAAAAAAAAAAAAAGTACTCACATGAACGTTAGCGCTGGTTGGCTGCTAAACTGGTCCCTGCATCTCCTCCACTCTGGTGGTCCAAGGTTCTGGGAGTCATCACATGCTATGCAGTGTATAGGAAATGAGGACAACGGGGGGGCGGAGGCTGCAGGGACCATCTAACAGCCAGCACAGAGGTTCAGGTGAATAGAACGTTCTTTATTTGCATCCTTACACAAAAACTAGCGCCACTGCAAGGGTTAGGAATATTCCTGCCTGGAGGTTTTCTTGATATTAATCTTGGGCCTTAGCGCGATAGGAGATTGTTTGCCCTTAGATGAAGATCTCCTTTGCCATACACGTTCTCACCTTAAACAAAGTGGAATGAGTGTGCCGGACTCCTGGTTAAACTTGAGATGGACACTTTCCAGTTGTCGTGTACGTACTAACTCATGAGGAATGATGGCCGAGGAACTTTCACTTTCTAGACTGTCTTTGCGGCTCCTTCGAAAATAGAGGAAAAAGGAAAAACACATTATAGAGAGTGTCTGTCAGGTAATCACAAGGCAAAAGATCAGGAGGGAAGCCTAATGATCCCATGCACAGGCAAACGTGGTCATCGCCTTGATAGAGGATACATAGATACCGCTGACACCAATCAATCAATTGTATGGGACAGATATTTACAGAGAACTTAGCACCTGCCCCAGCTGAGCTTACAATACAATGTCCCCAACCACACACTATGGTCAATTTATCCAGAAGCCCAGGAACTTCCAAAAGTCCCTGAGGATAGAACTGCCCCAGCCAATGCTGCTATACAGCAACCAGGTTTATACTTCATTGTCTGACTGGTTCCAAGTGCAGATATTCAGCTCTAAAGAAAGAGAGACGGTTTATACCTTGCACAGGTTTACTAATAATCCCAGATATGTTTTAGGATTGTGGGAAGAACAGAAACCACCTAAAAGAATTTCAATGTGAACACAAATATAAACTTCAAACAGATGGTACCCTGACGGGAGAAGAAGCCAGGACCACAGCACTGCAAGTACCTGGTGCTTTCCACGGAGCCATTATACTGCCCCTTCTACCTGACTGGTGAGAGAAACGGATTGATGTGCCAGACATGGCTAGTCTGACTACTGTACAAGCACTTTATAACTTGCATAAGGAAATGGCAACTACTAACCAACACTGACTCTACTTCTGTATATTTCCTCTGTTACAGGATCTTAGTAATTAGTGATGAACAGAACCAGGCACAGCTTCCCACTGCAGCCAGCAATGTGAAAGTCTGAAAGAGACCATTGTGACATGCATTGCCGGCGGCAGTAACGGAGCCACTCGGCCTGTGCAGACAGAGCTGGAGGCAGAGACACTCGGAATATGTCTAAGAAACGGGTAAGTGCAATTTACATAGAGCCCGTTATTCACATTCAGAATGCCACCAAATGAACAGAGGGTAACCTGCTACTTAATGTTACATATACAGAGATGACCAGCTATATTCTGTCCTAGTGCCAACAATAAACAAAGCCCCTTTCACATGGGCAGTCCAATCGGGTCCGCCTGTCAGTTTTTCAGGTAGCCCAATGTTAGTCTATGGGCAGCTGTGTGTAAATGGCCGGGCGTCAGTTTACACACAGTTGACCCCAACTCCAGCATGGTTCCGAAAAAACAAAGGATCAGAGATCAATTTCGCCAGAGTGGTTTGTGCCGGAACGGGGTAATCTGATGTAAACGGACTTGTCTGCTTACATCCGATTCCCCATAGATGGGCATGGGGCCCGGTAGTTTCAGTAAAAAACTGTACGGAGACGGATGTCACAGCCTTGACATTCACTCTGTACTGCTGTGATCCGTGCACGGATCCCCTCCTGATCAGCACGTGTGAGAGGGGCCTATGGATAGGGGTCCATTTTTATTTTGCCGTACCATTTTAAACACTTTAATAGTCCTACGGCATGCAGCCGGGATATGCTTCAGCGCCCTTTAGAAAAAAAATGTCTTCCCCCCCCATCTCAAATGAATGAAATGAAACAAATGGAGGATCTTACTGGCTCCTTGGAATATCAAGGTGAAAGATTGAGGAATGTGGTTAACCTGCCTGTTGCAATTAAACATTAAACTAGAAAACAATTCCCATCACTCACCCTGGGACTCTGGCTACCGCCACATAACTACAGAGCATAAATATAAAAGGCTCAGAGACTTATGACTATGCAATGTCCTCTGTTTCTACATATGACAGAATGTCCCGGGTTTATTCTTATAATGTTATCTTTGTGTGATCTCATGTAATGCAATGAATGCTTTGTTACAGCAATTTGGCATCTGTCCTTACATCCTTTTTTTCTTTAAAAAAATAAATAAAAAGTGCGCTGGGATTTGGTTGCATGGTCAGTTTAGCAGGAAAAAGATCCAAGTAGAATTCTTCTTTGATCATTCCAACTAGAACTACCTTGAAAAGATTTCCATAACATTAGATTTTCCCAAAATAAATACTTACGGCGCTCGATCGTGGTTCATGCCATTCTGACGCTGCATACTGATTGGAGGTAGGATAGGTTTACTGTTGATTTCAAGGCCTCTTCGTAAAGCCTCTCGGATTTGCTCGGTATCTAAAAGAACACAGAAAAGGAGTTACATTTACTACACAGTATAAGTCTGAACAAACGTTAGACTGCAGCCTGTTTATTAGAACACAGTGGTTCTTATGTCTAAAGACTGGAAGACAGGAAATGAGCATGTGTTATGGTGGCCATAGACAGCCCAATATCTACTGGACAAAGACAAGCAGGGAGGTATCTGGCCACCCTCCAATGAGCTGTGCTAGTACAGGACCTGCTGCAAGACTTGCTCTGATGACAAAAGCAGCCCATGTGTGGTTGTTCTGACCCTTCACTCCCCTCCATAGAAGAGCGATGGGCTCAGCCTCGCACACAAGTTGGGAATTCTTCCCGTGCGGTATTAAGCATCTTATATTTGTCACATACCCTAAAGAGACAGAAATTGTTATGATCCCAAAAAGCTACCAGCAGGAGTTTTCCTGGGTTACCGAGTCATTTAAAGTTTATTCAGCCAAAACGTGTTTTTTTATTTTGAGCTAGAGTGGGGAAGGGTTAGAATCTGCTTTGTTTTTTACTGCTATCTGGTTCCTCTAATAAGGTTTGTTCTGTGCTGGTGAAAATTATTTTACCAAACAGGAAGTTTGGAGAAGTGGAAGAACAGGTTAGAACAAAGTCGGCTTTTTATTGCCATTAATGTCCCTGTGGCAGAGTTTGCCCTCATTTTCATCAGAACAGAGCGTAAGGAAATCTCTATACAACAGAGCCCAGCTGGAAACCTGCCAGGTACCCATAAACTTTGACCCGTCTATCATCTCATGAATATACATTCAGTGAAGGCCGCTAGTTTGATGGCTGGATTAACACCTTGCATGCCTTTATGCTGATAGAAAATATAGAACAGGAACATATAAATGAAGATTTACACAGAGATCGGGGATCTGATTTCAGAAGCCATTGCTTCTTCTCTTTTAAAAGGCAATGGACCTCAGAAGGCGTCTGAAAAGCTACGGTTTTCATCGCTCCAGCTGCCAGTTCCCTTTGTCCCATACTACATTACAAGATAGGATTCTGATTGACACGTACATCCAAAACAGTATTTTCTGCAGGCACATTTCCGTTGTCAACTCCTTAACTGTATATAGTAAACAAGCACTGGTATTTAATAGGGTGCAAGCAAGTAAAGACCTTTGCCAGATAACCGTCTTTGTTGCGTTCCAATACATATACTCCTACTGTCTTCCTCATCTTCCGGTGGTCGACTCAAATCGTCCCATGCACATTTGGCACTGACTCCGCTGAGGTTCGACCCTTCCGTTTCAATCCCCTTATCAACACTCTCCTGCTTGAAAGTTTAAGAGAAAAAAAATTCCTTTGTAATTGTATTCTCGAAAATCAGAGGCGTCTAAATCATGGAATTCCTTGATGGTGATTTGGGGACGCTCATCACAGAGGACACGTTTGTAAAAAAGAAAAACACACAAAAGAAATGAAAGGTTAAAAATAAAAATGGAAAAAACAAAAATACCGTTTCCTTTAGTGATAAAGATATAAATGTCCATTTATAAACCTGCACACAAAGATTAATGTCACTTTATCTGTTAATGAAACTGTAATGCATTTCATCACATTTGTGTGGATTCAGTTTTAGGGCCTGTTCACACGACGTCCGTTTTGTGTGCTGACCGGCTCCGTACGCTGCTGCACTCAAAATGCATCCCAATGTATCCCTATGTGTTTTATGGGCTCCAGTTCTCACGTGCGCAGTCCGTTCAGCTTACGACAGAAAAAATACTGCATGTCACATTTTGTCAGGTCCGGAAATGGTCAGGAAACGCAAACGCGTCCAAAACACATCAAAAACGCACTGCACTGCAGCTAACATACTAACAGCACCACTCCAGCAAAAAAAAAATAAAAAAAATAATATATATATTTTTTTTTTTTTACTTGAACGCATCAAAAACGCGGCAAAAACGCACTGCATCAGTCTGCAGATCCGCACCTGATCAGGACCTGATATCATGTGAACAGGTCCTTAGGATCCATACATACATTTCACAGACTTGCCACTTCCATCAGCCCTGGATCTGCAGCACGGATAAGGGAGAAGTGAACGTCTAACACACTGCAGAACTCCTGACAATGGCAGGATTGGGAAACTATTTTCTGAAATTGAATACACTGACGGCCAAGGCTCATCAGGAGGAATAGAAGTTTCTCCTGATAAGACAACACCAGAGTTGTCTTCAGAGCACTTCCTGTGCATCTACTCTGCAAGTAAAAACACAACAGTTGCCCAACGTGACCATTTATGTTTAAGAAAGCAGAGGCTGGGAAAGGTGCCTAGATGCTGTCAGACAGAATCCATATGTTCCACTGCTCTCTGGTATATCCAGCCAGCTTTAGTGTAAACAGCTAGAACCACCTGGCCTGTAACAGCCTAAAGCCTTGGATACCTCATGTTGCAGCCCAGTTGTGTACACCCTCTGCACACCCTAACTATGCAGTTGGTCATTAAAAAGCAAGAAGAGACCTACCCTGGCCTACCTCCCTGTATCATAGCTGCATTCTAAGGCCAGGAATGTGTGAAGAGGAAAGAACTGTGGAGTGATATCCAGAGCTTCAGGATGCAGCAGTCAGGAAAATAGCATTTTTAGAAATGTAATGGAAGCCCTTGTGTTTCCCTCAGCACAAGTTTCCTGTAATGGACCAAAAACGTGTTCTGAGAGTGCCAGTTCTTTAAGCCATTGCCGTGGGGTTCTCCTATGTAAAGTGTTAAAGCACCGCTGCAATTTCTAATGAAATCCCTGCAAAAAAAAGCCAAATATTTACCTCTCCTTCCGCCCATGTTGCTTTGATCAAGAGGAACAGACAGATCAAGCTTCTTCTAAAAATCCAAACTTTTGGGAGTGTCGATCTCCCCCCCTCCCCCCCATCACTATAGGACACAGTGGTCAGTGATAAGGACTAGCGAGCGCTACAGTGGACACTTTATAACAGGGAAGCTTTAATAAATGGTGGATGAAAAGACAATTACCATTTGATGGTCTGATTAGTCTCTAAGGGGCAAGGGGCATTACACACGTGATATGAACGTGAATTAAGAGCTTGTCTAATGCAAACACTTTAATAAATATCAGTCGGTGCATCCAAACTTGCACCTTACATTTGTATACTTGCAGAGCTTCAGACATCAGCTGTCAATGGTCGGAGTACCTCTGCTTAGTCCATACATACAAATGCATTAAACATTTAGCGTACACCATCACTCATTTTTTGTGACCTTCATATTTAGACATACCTGCAAATGAGGGTCAATTTCAAAAATGGTCTCTCCTCTTCTCATATCCGTTATTAGCCAAGGTCCACCCGATCTGAGTAAAGAAATATTTTATTGGACGTGTCTATTACATAATAAAGCAGATAAAAGGACAAAATCAAAAGTTAAAGTGGGCCTAAAGTAAAAACACGCACCACCACCCATCGAGAGAGAGAGAGAACGAGAGAGAGAGAACGAGAGAGAGAGAACGAGAGAGAGAGAACGAGAGAGAGAACAGTATATACGAGTTAAATGTATGCAATATATGTTGTTGTAAAGCTCACCACACTTGTATATGTGTAACGTGTATGTTTAACTTATCACACAAAACACTTAGGAGTCCTGTTTTACTGCAGACTTGCAAAACAATCTTACTTACACTGGTATTGTTCGAAGGAGTTCTAGTATTCCCTGTCCGTTCCATTGCTGAGCTGCATGCAATTCCTCAGTGCAAACACCAACTATCTAACAGAAAAAAAGCAATACGAAAGGTTATACAAATGCCGAACACAAAGACTGGCCATACATCCTCCGGCACCTGCAAACAATGCAATCACATCATAGAGGTGAGCTCCCACATGAAAACGCTTATTTATTTACGATTGGTATTTACACAGCGGCTACAACTTTACGCAGCGCTTCACATAGTAGCACAATCACAACAGTCCCTGCCCTCAAGGAGCTTACAATCTATGGTCCCCATCTAACATTCATATATTCAGGGCTGATTTAGACAGCAGCCAATTACCCTTCAAGCATTTGGAGTGTGGGAGGAAACCTACACAAGCACAGGGAGAACATGCAAACTCCATGCAGGTAGTGATCCGACTGGAATTTGGAACAACCCCGAAACACTTCAGTGTTTAAAGCCTGTGTTGGCAGGCTTTGGGTCAATGGCATCAGTTTGAGACACTTGTCAGATGATCAGAACTCATGGACAAGTGCCTTTGACCTGCACCATATACTTGTATAGAAATACAAGACCTGCTTGAACGAAAGCCTATTGGCACAACAGCCAGGTAACTAGCATTTTCAACAGCAGCAGCTGCTAAACATTGCTCATGACAGGGTTCAGTGGGAATATGTAGGAGAGGTAGGCTGTGCCTACCACACTAATAATGTGTATGACAGGTGGAGATGTTTTCATTCCTCCACACATTGATGACTGACTATTAATGATTAGGTACACGACCTGTACAAGGGTTATGGGGTGATTGACAACATAGATGATGCCTGATGATCTTTTTAAATGAGTCGCATTTTATTTTCTGCTGAGATCTGAATAGTTTTATACACCATCTGTCAATCACTTTAACTCTTTCATATGCACTATCCTGGGCAAGTATATGGAGAAATGAAACATCTGACAGACAGTAAATCCTGTAGTTCACTCACCTGTAAAAAGGACACAATACCAAACGGCGTCTGCACTGGCTGCATTTGGGGGTCTTCTGTCAGAAGCATATGCTGAATACGGGACTCGCTGTTGTCCAGTGGACTGTGCCATGACACATGATCGCCGCTGCAGAAGGTGTTCTCTGTAATTAGCCATACAAGTGATCAGGTAAATACCTTCACCAATATCCTTACTATATATCTAGTCAGCTGTAAGAATCAACCTTGTTTATTGGTGGCTTAAAAGGGAGAAGTATTGTTGCTGCCTCTAGCAATCAGGCCTAGCTGCCCGGTGGGCCATCAGAGAAAGAGCTACTGGTGGTAGGCAGGCCATGTTTTTACACGGGTTTTAGGGGCCAGTAAGTACCTGGCTCCCTCCTGAGGGCCTTGGGTGTCCCACCCCCATGCCTGATATTGCCCCAAACCCTAGCACACTGGAGACTGACGCTGGAAGTCTCGCATCTTCGCCCCTGTGCCACGGGCTGGATCTGGATCCCGACACATGCTTCTCTCTTTGTTTGACTGTATGTTTTACCTGTATTGTCCTCACCCCTCGTCCAGAACTGAGGTTAATTTAGAGCTACTGATGCTAAGTATGTACTGCATATCTGGATGTCCCTTTGGGAAACTGTTTCTTTTTGTATATAAAAAAAAAAGAATTTAAATAAAGAATTTATAAAAAAAGTACCTGGCTGAGGGAAGGAAAAAATAAAAAAGGATTTGAAAGTAATCAAACATTACAGTCACATCAAGGCAAATGTCCTGAGAGAACCAAGTATATAGTATATAGATGCTGCAGTTGTGGATTCCTATGGAGTTGCATAGAGGATGCCCTTTCATGGGACTCGTTAATCAACCATGCCATGAAAACTCATGTACCAGAGATTATAGTCCGCTACAGTCTACACTATAAAACATCCATTAGTAACAGAACATATTTTCTACATGCTCAACAAGAGTTTAATACTTAAGGTATGGTCTTAGACTGTCAATGGCTCCCAGGCACATCACATTCTATTAAGTAGCAACGAGCCAGAGGAGTGCAGCTTGCTCCAATAATCGGCTGATGCCCATTGCAAACGTGATGTGACGAGGAATGCACTGTCGGCTTCTTCTATGGACTTTTTGGGGTACTGCAGTTTTTCGCCGTTTCACGGACGCACGCAATTTGTAACCTGGGCATGTTGGGTATCGTTTTACTCGTCGTAACCGCATCTTTTATATTCATTAAGAAAATTGGTATTTTGTTGTGTTTTTGGGCATTTAATTAAATTTTTCACTAAATGTTGGGGTTTAATAAGGAGTTGCGCTAATATTATGCAACATAAAAATTTGCAACTACCACCATTTTATTCTATAGGGTCTTGGCATTCAGAAAATATATAATGTGTTTGGAGGTTTTAAGTCATTTTCAGGCCAAAAATGTGGAATATAACATGGGTGCAAAAAATGAAAAAAAGGCCTCAGTCATGAAGGGGTTAAGGTCAATAAGTTGCTTGAACACCGCTGCCATTAGTAGGGCAAACCAAAATTCTTCCTACGTTGTCACCCGGAAGTAAAATCACTGGTGCAACACTATGCAATGTCAACTACCTGTAGGGACTAGACCAGCTAAATGTTAGTTCAGCCCATAACATAGCTGCCTGAAGGGTACATGAGTGACGGGTACACTGAAGAGTAAAATATTCCTTCTAGGTTTCAGTTAGGTTAAAGCACAATGTATACAGTACACATGCAAACACACAATGATATAAAATAAGATTTTCGTACTTTCTGTAAACTTTTTCTTGAAGTCCATTAAGGGACACAGGAATTTACTAATTCTAAGACATTCGGGTTAGAGGTTCAGATACTGGCCAATAAAAAGCGTTAAGCCATCCCCTGTATAATTTCACCTCCGGCCATCACTCAGTTTTGTGAGTAAGCAATACATAAGGTCAAAACACAGAGAGGCGAGACCTGTGCCCCCCAATAGACTTGATGAAAAAAAATGTTACCGTACAAACTACAAAAATCTTATGTTCTTTATCGTCCATTGAGGGACACGGGAATTTAGTAATTCTTAAGACATTCAGGATGTCCAAAACCTGAAGGCTGAACAATAGCTACTGAGAGATCCAACAACTGTTGAAATTATATTACAAACACTATCTGAAGGGAATCAACACCTAAACGAAGGCTAGATGAAGGAGGGCCAATCAAATATGCAAACTGCCATGTCCTGGGGGAGGGAACAGAGGAGCAACCTAGAACTCCAGACTAGGACTGTAATGGGAATCCGCTACCTGAAGAATGATGGGCCTCAATTATCCACAGACAGACTACCATTGCTGTGAGAGCCCTCTCAGCAGAGACAGACTACCATTGCTGTGAGAGACCTCTCAGCAGAGACAGACTACCATTGCTGTGAGAGACCTCTCAGCAGAGAATACAAGAAGGCAAGCTGAAAAAGCAACCCTTAAAATAGAAAAGGTTGAAACCCTGAATCCTGTTAAAGTAGAAAGAGGGTGGGTGATGGACCAAACCTGTATAAAATAAGTGTAGGCAGGGGTCAGCATATGCCGTAACACAAACTGGCAAAAAAGGAGATCAGGACCAGAAAGATGAGAACGAGTCCTTCCAAATGATAGCCGCAGTGTGATAACCACACTGCAAACCTGTCTGACCAATTATGAAATATATAATTCTAGGAATCATAAACTTTGCCCTGAATCCTCCATAGAGGAGCCATGAGGTAGAAATCATAGTGCAAACACTAGTAATATTATCCTAATAGGGAAGAGGAGGAGAATTGTAAGGAGACTTCCTTAGTAGACCACAGCCCGGTCATAGAAGCAGGCCAATCTTCCAGTAACCAGGTCCCACAAAAGGCCTCCAGACTTGCACTATCCTATCTATGGGAATACTACAGCAGGGTAACAGTGTCTTGCCTGCTGAGCCTCCAATAAATGACATGACACATTAGCAATGGATACCTCCTAGCAAGGAAGAAGGGAGGCACACTCACATGCAGAACCCTCACTCCTCAAAGTGGGGAGCAACAGATGCGGTGATCTGGAAGCTAATACCAACTACAGGGGAAAAAAACAAAAACACCAGTGTGGTAATGAATTACATACCGAAGACTGTCCAGCATAGGGTAATAGGTCACCCAGTCAGATACAGGGGGGATTTCCAAATTATTCTGGAGCTGAAGTTCTTGGAACCTCTAACAGCAGAGGGCATAATAAAAGACTGACCAACAAAGGGATTCCCCATTGGCTTGGGATCCTGTCTGTTCCATAAAACCGGACCAAAGGAGTAGGCAAGCCGATACATGCATTAGGGGAAAGGGATCATTCTGACAATGGTCAGAACATGGCAAATAGCGGGTCTTTCTGGTCCAAAGGACCACCTTGGTGCCTGCCACCATTCCAGATTCTCTAACTCAGGGGAAGAAAAAAAGAAAAAAAAAATATCTAAACAGGATTAAGGGACAGCACGAGAAGAGGGTCTATGTTAAATAGAATTAACAGAGGTTTCTATAAACCCCCTAAGAAGCAAGGGAGAAAGTTCCAGGGGCAGTGTAGATGATAGGACCCTCAGCTAAGCTTGACGTACAAGAAACTTGGACACTGACTTAAGTGAAGATCTGAGCATTCCACAATGGGGACACCAGAAAAACTTCACAAAAGAGTGTACATAAGGGTCAGTGCCCTGGGTAGGGCTCAGACCCCACTGGAGGACACTGAAGAGTCAGGTCCTTACAATGTAAAGGAGCAGCAGGAACTGATCCCTGCAATCTTACAAACCACAAGAACCCTGAGGAGAGGGTTGAAGAGTCCAGCACTGTAAGGGGTGTAACTATCTGCAATGGAAAAGGATTTCCCTGTAAAGAGGAGTGCGACAATGAATGGGATAGCATTCTCAAGGGTACTATGAGAGGAGGAATCAGAACGTCTAGTGCTATGAGGGGAAGCCTGAGCATCCAAACTGCAAGGAGGTAAAACACAACATCCACTTGCAGAACTGGAGGAGTACCTTTATGCAGAGGGCTGAGCAGAGGAGACAGAGGACTTCTGGCTTTGAGATGTGTTAGTTGAGGTGGGAGGTAGACTGCTCGCCTATAAGTTCAAAAACAGAAGCAGCGGGGCATGGTGCCTCCACTAAGCTGAATGGGAGAAGCAAGAGCGTAGATCATGTGCAATACTCCACTTAGCGGATGACATCAATTCTACCCCTAAATATTACCGATGTATGATGGCAGCCATTTTAAAATGCCCCCCTGCGGTACCCACTGTGAGGTGGCTCTCAGTGCTTGAGCCCAACATATCCGATTAATCGAACTTAATAATCGGCTAACTAATCGATTTTGAAAATAATCGTTAGCTGCAGCTCTACAGGCAATGCAAAGCCCAGTGCCCAAAGGTCACAATCCAGGTTTGCCCTGCAATCTTCCACTCCAGTGGGGTTCAGGTACGGCCTCCAAATCTATACACCAATCCTGATAACCGCTGTGCAGAGACTAGCAGACAAGCAGCTTTTTTTTTTTTTTAAAGTCACTGAAGAAAGAAAAAAAATATATGGTGTATAAAGTATCTGTATTTAAGAAATAGTAGAAAAAGCCAGCACAAAATTATAGTTAGACCTAATTTCAGCAGAACTCAAGAAAATGGTGCCGATCTTAGGAAATTCCCAAAAAACGGACTTGATGGTTGGAGATGGGGTATACAAGGGCCGGCTTATTTATTTTTTTGCCAGTGTCCAAATGGGTAAGAATTACAACATTTGTGTCTTTCAATGGAATAGATATATCGTGTATTTATGTTTTTCTTTGTGTATTTACCTGATTGGAAAACATATCTAGCAAGTCCCTGCATCAACTCTGCTGGCCATGTTGGTGGTGCAGATTCCTCTGGTTCCCTTTTCAGTCTGAAGGAGAGTTCAAAACCAAACCCACTGGGTCCATCAACCCCTGTGTATCTGTGAAAAGAAACATTGCAAATCAGCACATGACTGTTTCTCACTAAAAAAGCTTTGTAAACTCAGACATTAATAGCACGCAGCGGGTAATGCTGATGCTCAATTAGCTCTTCTTGCCGTCCACTGCAAAAAAAGTGTATATTGAATGAATACTCTTAAAGGATAAGTGCACTTTAAGAAAAGAAGGAACTACTCCTTTATGCCTCTGCCCTGATCTAATGAAACCCACCCTCCCCCTCCAAAGATACATACTTGCCTAGACACGGCATGCCCTGGCCTCCGATGTTTGTTTACCTGGAGACGAAGGGAGATGGCTCAATAGAAGTCTATGGCGGTATGGTCAAGATGTAAACAATCACTGGAGGCCATGGCAGTCATAAGGAGGAAAGTATGCATTTGGAGAGGGAAAGGAATGTGTTCGCTTAGGTCATGGCAAATGTGCAGAAAGGAGAAGTGCACATATCTTTTAAGAAAGCCATGAAGTAGATGACATGTACGACACCTGTGTCACACTGATGCTGGAATCCACAATTATCTACAGCTTTACCAGAGAACATGTGCATCCAAAACCGAGGATAAAACATTTTTTTATTTCTTCTGTCACACGGGTGTTGAATGCATTCACCACCCACCATCTGTATCTATGAAGCCTACAGCTACCCAGACATGGCATGACAGACACTTGTCCTGAATTGTTCTAGGTCACCCTCAGTCAGGGAGGATGAGAGTCGGCCTTATCTCAATTTCTGCTCAGATAAGCAGGGATCACCATTTTTACTCAAGGTCTGTTTCTCCCCTTTCATTCCACAACACTGTCTGTTTGGTGGCAGAGCCCTCCAAAGTTTTCATGGTCAGATAAGAGTTCCCATCCAACCATCACCTAAAAAGACCAGAGGCAGGCAGTGCTACACAAATCCCAGCATCCAGGCAATGAACCTAGCACAACTTCTCCAATCTACTGGCTCAAAGGTCCAGCTAACTGTCCTCTAAACCAGTGGTTCTCAAACTGTGTAACCTCAGGACCCATATTTGTCCATGGTCATCAAGTTGCGTCCCAAGACGCACTGCAATGAATGCACAGCGTTGTGGTACCGTGCAGTGCGGCCAATTGAACTGTGGGCGTGAGGTGGGAATGAATGGCAGTGCACCTTCCACACCAGAATGCATAGTAGGTGCGATTGCGTGGTACAGTGCGCGTTAATGGCACAGGACTGTTCATTTAATGCACTGTACTAGTGTGAACGGGCCTTCAAAAACGCTGACCGATACACACAACCACAAACTCACACACACATTAACACACTCCAAAAAAAAAAATGTATTTCTTTTTTTATTTCTAAGATCCACCCAGACTCCCTACATTATGAGAACTGGAAATTAGAAACTAGAAAAGTGGAAAGCATGCCGTGAGCCACTTTTGGGTCACGACCCACCAGTTGAGAACCAAGGCTCTAAACTATAAGCTGGTCCAGACTTCCTAAAACAATATTCTGCATAGAAAAAAAGCCTTTAAATATCAGAGTTCACAATCTATTGAACACTAACAGAGGTTATTTACATAATAACTTTTTCCTTTAGTAACAATTACAACATTAAAGGCCACCAAGGCCAGACCACTTTATGCTATAGAAATATAGATCCACCCCTAAAGCTTAACAGCTAGCTAAAGGATCAATGTGTGTGGTCCCATTAGAGGAGAAACAGAAAAAGGAACGAGCATGAAAGGGAAGAGAAAACTCTCCCCTCGATCTTTTTTTTTTCCTTACATACTTCCAGTGAATGTACATATTGTGCATTCTCTTTATTAGCCAGGGGGTGGCGCTTTATCTGAAGCTCAATTGTACAGACATCAGTAGCTCAAGCTGAACAATTACACACAAAAATGCATCACTCATCAGTAGTGAATTATACCTTATCAAACCCTTCTTTCCAAAGTTTCTACTGGTAAGAGACCACAGTAATCTCTTATATGGCCAATATGAAGCTTTATTAAAAACATTAAATTATATATATTATGTAGATATATCTCTCACAATCGCCATGATTCCTGGAGATTTGCCCCAGAAACAAACTGTAAAATAGTCTCTTATTTTCCACATCAAATGCAATTTCTTTTCAGGATTTCCTATTGGCATTTAAGGTAAATAATAAAAGGTCAATCGGCAATTATTTAGCAGATTTCTAACATATACAATCATGAGTAACGAGCCCACATAATCCAGCTCATCAACAAAGTGTCGCTGAATATAATTTTAGAAAAATGAGTCATTATGGACATTTCTTGCCGATACAAAAGCTGCATGATCACCCTTCTCACCAATATGACAGTGGCGCTGGTAACAAAAATGGAAATAAAAGTGCAGGCCTCGTCATTAATGTTAAACTAATGAAATAACTCAAGATTTGTGAATCTGTGATCAGCAGAAAAATGTGCCTGGTGTATACACTGAGCGAGTGTTATCCTTTGAGATTAGAGCTTGTTGCTGAATAGAAAGCCAGCCTGGCTCTGTTGGTGGCCTCCGTGTTCCTGTGTTATTGATGGTGTTAACTAGCTCAAACAAATCACAATCTGAAACCAAATACGCTGTAGGAAAAGGTTTCCATATGTTAGCTATTTCTTCAGGGGAGGTCTACCTCCAGCACACAGACAGCAGCTCCCCATTGCCGGGCCCCCCCAGCTCTTCCTGAGATAAAGAATTCATTTACTCCGGGTTTATTGATGAAATACTCTCACAAGTTAAACAAGGCCAACTCTCCTCCAGCAGCACCCTCAACAATGCCGAATAGAACACAAAGCCCCTCCAATACCTCTAAAGCACTGGAAGCAATTACTGTCAGCTGCATATTACATGTCATCGGGTTTCATGCACATTCAAAGGTTTGGAAAACGCAAGTGTTGGGTTATGGGTGTCTCTGATGTATTCTGAAGGACCTCATTTAACAGGCAACTTTAGAAGCAGCGGAAAATGCTGCATGCTCCAATTTTTCCTAATCAACTGGCCCACATCAAATGAATCAGTTTAGAAGGTCTGCGGTATTCAGGTACAAAGACACAAACACAATTGTACATATCAAAAATCCTAAGGTTCAAAATGTTTCTGGCAGCAGAAGGGTTGGGTTCCAGGGAAATCACTGAGCACCTCAGGCAACAACCCTCCTGCCTTGTTGTGCCACAATCTTCCCTATGTCCTGACTGCCTAGGGGGTTCCACTGGCCAGCAGTTTTAATGAATTAGCATCCCGGCCAGATCACGAGCTGCAAAGGATTTTGCATGTTCTCCCTGTGCTTACGTGGGTTTCCCCCGGGTACTCCGGTTTCCTCCCACACTCCCAAGACATGCTGGTAGGTTTATTGGCTCCTGTCTAAATTGGCCCTGTATGTATGTGAGATAGGGACCTTAGATTGTAAGCTCCTTGAACGCAGGGACTGATGTGAATGTGCAACTATGTAAAGCACTGCGTAAATTGTCGGTGCTATATAAATTCCTGTAATAAATAAAGTGTAGAGGAAAGGGAATGAAGCATTGTATACTCAGATTTCAGAAACACTAAGGACACACCTCAACTTGGGACCAGACACCAGCACAAAGGTGGCAGAAAAAAGGCCTGAACAAGCTCTCTGGGCTGTAGGATTTCCAGGCACTCCTTTCCAGTGACCCCAAAATAAATAGTCTGATACCTACAGAAATCCAGCTCATAAGAGAACGGACATCCAATTTCCATGGGTGCCTTGAATGCCACAAATTGCTTAACCCTTCGTCTGTGTCTGATCTCTAGCCTCACATGACCCTGATATGTTTGTGGAAAGTTTCCTATGCTATTCCATCAAAAGACTGAAAAGGCAAAAACAAGCCGATCATGAAATTGCTGGGTGTTTTTTCTCCACTTTGCCTGCGCCAAGAATAATCTTCCAACGGTTGCCTCACGCTGTTGCAAGCACTTCCTAATGCTGCTCTATAGGATTTTTCAATGTCTGCCTTGCGGTAGTAGTAGCCCTAGAGGGATGCACAGCACTAGCTGACAGACCCTGATCTATATCATTGAATACGCCTGCAGTGAGACCACACATTAGACGCAGCCTGCAATTCTGTATTATATACTGGCCTTTCAATGTCTTTTCAGTATCACATTGTTTATTATACAGAGCAGCAGCTGAGGATTGTCAGGGCCGAATGTTTAAACAGGTGAATACTAAAGTACCAGTCAGCTGGAACGTACAATGTTATTCTTCCCTTTGTTAGATTTTAAAATGAAGAACACGCAGCAGGGGACATGAGGCCACATGCAGCAGATACAGCGATACGAGACTCAAGATCATGCAAAAGGGCTAAGTCCCCATTCACACTTGTGCAAAGGACTGATCGCATGAGTCTCACAAATTCCTCTATGCTGCGATCACATACGGCCGGCCTGCGAATGGCTGTGGCAGCTGTTACTGTATTGTACAGAGCCTCCTGCTCGCAGCTGATCATACGTCTCATTGAGGAATCTGAGAGACTCATGTGATCAGAAGTGTGAATGTGGCCTATGAGGCGGTGTTCTCCAGAGCTAACTAGGGCAAAGAGACTTCAATAAACACCTGACAGAGGTTCTTCCTATTCCCTGCTCCAACCTAAACACACACAAAAAAGAAGGTTTAGCTAGAAACACACTTTAGGAGGTCAATTTCACATTTTCCCACCTAAGATTTACACAACTTTAACCCAAGATTCCCTCATTTTCTAATTTGATTCCATTGGGAAAAATGTGACTCTTCGATTAAAACATTTATAAAACAGACCCCTTTCGATAAAAATAACCCATCAAATGAATGCAGTATTTTTTGATGCCACTAGTGTGGCCACCTGCATTTGCCTTCATATAAGCTCGGAAAAAAATCCCCTCTGCTGTGCCGACAGTGAACATACTGACAGAAGAAGAGAACAGGGTGATGACCATGTACATGTACTGCTGCTCCTTTACGGTCCACTTAAACTGGAGGAGTGCTTAGGATCCATGTAATGAAACCAAGATTGTATTGCTATTGTAGAGGAGGTATAACAGGGGTGCCTACATCACCTAACTAGCCACACAGGATGACAAATCCAGTTCTGGGATATAGAAGGCTTTACATTAGATCTGTATTTAGCCTGGAGTTCAGCCTTTAAATCTTGTATTCATATTCAGTATTTATCAATGTATAAAAGGAGGACGCCGTCTTTTCTCATTGGCTTTTATCAAAAGCAGACTCTGCAGCTGAAAACACGCTCAATGCTCCCAGCAGCTAGGGACCCAGTTATCTTTTGTCTAGGCTTCTTAGGATGAGGGATCGGCCAGAATTGTTATCCAAGGAAAGAAAAAACATGTTTTTCAATCAAAATAATGTGATTTGATAATGTTCTATCAGATGGGCAAAGTACAGGTTCCTCTGCATTCTAAAAGAGGTGTTTATACAGATACATTCGATTTCATTTATTCCATCTTCCCCGGCATTCCATTTCTGGAGCAGAACCAAAAGGCCGCCCCCAATGTTCTTGGCTCAGGCATCAGTCTTTCATTATCAGCCATGAGCACAGGATTCCACAACTGCATAAACATTTGTGACAATCATATGAATACTAAGAAAAGGATTCTTCTGATCTGAAAATAAAATATCTGCAACATAGACTTCTATTTTCCTGGTGTGTGTGTTCATTAACTGAGCTGACAAAGCTGCCTTTGCTGTACTGATATCCAAGGAATACTTGTCATCCTTGCCCCATTTTTCTCTTCTACACTACAGAACACCTATGCCTCTCATCTCCGTCATGGGGAGGTGTTCTGTAGTCCCGCTGAAAAGAACTCAGGCAGAGACAACAACACCGCTTGAGATTTCAGTGCAGACGAAGCAGCGTTACCAGTTCACTACAGGAAATTAGGAGCTCACTGGATTTCTGGTCAGATTTACGGGTATTTTTTGGACTTTTTTCTAAAGGATGTTACAAGCAGTGCTTACATGGTTGTTTTTTTTAGGCGAGTTGGGTTTCATATAACATAATGAAATATAAAGTCAGTATATATACAGTATATAAATATCGTGACCAAGTAAGATAACCCAACATATAGAGCAGTGCTAACACTAGAATGGATTGTATGTATATGAAGAACATTGCATAACATTTCTTGGCACAGAAACATTAGGTCTCCTACAGAGCAAGATGTACACAGAGCAGTCCAGGTCTTGTATGAATAAAAGGCCTAGAATTGGCGAGCCCTCATACAATCCCCTACAGAGCCTCAAAGCACTATACAACACTTGGCAGACCAGCAGCTGGATCTGCTGACATGACTGCATTGCTGCCAACTTGAGGAGAACATGTGCAAGGAGCCCGAACACAGGCTAGAATCAACCAGGGAGGCCAGATGATAATCATGCCATGTGATCTGAGAGAGTAGAAATGTTAATAAATGGAACTACATTTGTGTAGAAGTTTTAAGATAATGTCCCCTAGTATGTGACCTAAACCAGCTTACTGCTGGACTGGATACATCTGCACTAAATGAAATCATGCTGAAGGGCTGTCTGGACTGCTACCATGCCTTATTACTAAACACAGCGGTCACATCTGTACTGACCCACCAGGGACTCCTACCACAAGAATCCCCAGATGCACAGAAAGGCCCTGTGTGCATGAGGCCTTAGCGGACACACCATTCCCTCTCAAAATGCTGTCAGTATGAGACTTTCCAACACTGCAGCGGCTCCTCCTCACCCTCCCTACACTGACAGGTGGTGAGAGCTTATTAAACATAAACACAAAATGTTTGCAGACTCCTATCCTGCTTAATTGTGTACACAAAGTGCCAACATTCCACATCTCTAAGTAGCCACTCCACCCACAAGGGAGTTTGCTGACTATTAAACACTCTATACCAACAAACAAGTAATAGGAGGACAATGAGGAACATTTACTAAATCATAAACAATGTTGGATTTGATCAAAGTGCATTATTTGCTACTTTTTACATTTCCAATATACAAAGGGAATTAGAGCATGGATCACTTGAATTTCAGGTCTTATTTTCGGGGGATGTCTTACCTGGCTGGGGGAGGACTGGACAAGGTCCCGGAAGGCGGCGTGCTGTTGCCGGTCCCGGTTTCGGCGGATGACATGTCGCTTCCATCGTGCGGGCGTGAGCTGCGACCGGCGGGGGGGAGCAGCGGCCGGCTGGTGTGTGGGCGGGCATGTGGGCGGGGGCTACGGCAGGCTGGCGTGTGGGCAGGGCGGGAACTGCGGCCGGTCTTTACATTTAAAATTCAGTTTATGTGCAGCTACCCCGAAAGAAAGACCTAGCGGATTTCTGTAATATAAGACCTATCACCGAACTAGGTCTTATTTTCCGGGTAGGTCTTATATTACAGAAATCACTGAAGATAGTGCTAGGTCTTACTTTCGGGGTAGGTCTTACTTTCGGGGAAACACGGTATATAAAAGTCTGAAAACATGATTTCATACAAAACCAAATCCCACACCGATGTGATATTTGTGTGTGGAACGTTGACCACTCTGTGACAGAAAATAATAATAATGATATTACGGCTGCAACTGGTTATTTTCATAATCGATTAGTTAGCCGATTATTTTTTCGATCAGACAAAAAAATTTAGTGTCATCCTTAATTTAAAGTAAAATACACAAATGCAGTGTTATAAACAATGTTTATGTCAGAATAAAACTGAATGCACAATTATTTTTGCAATCACACCGCATTGTGGTGCTGTGCGTTCCAGTGCGGGCGATCACACTGTGGGTGGAAGGCCCGTTTGTGGTGTCATTGAAATAAATGCACCCCTCCCGCAGCAGAATTTGTCAGGCCAAAACCAAAAATTACTTTTCCCACCTTTTATAATTTATTTATTTTTAGTTGTAAGCACATGACGCTTGAATAGCTTCAGCCAGGGAATGACAGCTGCCGGTGGCAAGATTCCGAAGACGGCAGCTGAATGTAAATACGGCAGGTAGTGGGTTGGTGCAATAGCCAGCCTGCTATTGGCCATTTCAAATTGCAATAGCCAATAGCAGGCTGGATATGGTTGTTGGTGTTGAGAGCTAAGGGATTCAACCAACTAATCGATGAGAATAGTTTACATCTATTATCATTATTAATCGATTAGTTGGTTGCAGCCCTAAATGATATAAAGTAGGGATGCACCGATACAGTTTTTTTTAAAATCAGGAAGCCAGGTCATTACGTGCCGTCCGGCTTCCTGATTCGTTAGGAAGCCAAGCTGCCTAGCAACAAGTGAAGCCGGCTTCCTAGAGGCAGGTCATAACACACCGCCCGGCTTCCTGATTGGAAAGGAAGAGCGGCTCCATGCTCCCTCGGCACTGCGGGTCAGTGGGATATCTTCCTCTGACTGGAAGTTCTGGTATCGGAGCATTAGGGCGAGTACTCGCCCAAATACTTGGTATCGGCACCAATACCAATATTGGTATCGGTGTATCCCTAATATAAAGTGATGAATGGTGTTAAAGCCGACCTCCAGCTATAAATGACAGATATATACAAGGTAGAGGTTTTACCTGCCACAGGATGAGAATTTCTGTCCATCTGAGACTTGCACAGCTGTCACACTGCACAACCCAGCATGGCAGGTCAGAAGACGTCTTTTTTTATACATCAGATCAGTAGAACTTGACAGCAAAAGGAGAAGCCGCAAAATAATGAGTTTATTTCCCTCTCACTCTGCTCTCTCTTCCCTTCAGCATGACCCTTAGGGCCTGTTCACACGACGTCCGTTTTCTGTGCTGACCTGATCCGTACGCTCCTGCACTAAAAATGCATCCCAATGTATCCCTATGTGTTTTATGGGCTACAGTTCTCACGTGCGCAGTCCGTTCAGGTTACGACAGAAAAAATACTGCATGTCACATTTTGTCCGGTCCAGAAATGCAAAACGCGTCAAAAACGCACTGCATCAGTAGCACCGCATCTGCAGATCCGCACCTGATCAGGACCTGATATAATGTGAACAGGCCCTTAGACTTCACAGCTGATCCTTGTGCTGCATCTCCTCCCCAAATCTGAGCCCTGCTGTGTAGAGATTGCCATAAGTGATACCAAGTCAATTAAGATACTTACACTGTTGCATGGGGAAAACAGAACAAAAAAAGTAAGGAATAAATGTTGATGGGCGTCTTTTTATTTCTCCTTGTAGTTCAGCCTACAAATATCTGCTACAAATTAGTGTACTGACTCTAATTGACAGAAACATTAAACACTTACTCGTGTACTCTGTTGTCTCCATACAAATCGCTGAGTCCAAAGCTGACGTAATGCCAGTGTTCAGTAACACCAAGTGACGAATCGCCAAGATTTCTGTACATGCTCACATAATCTAGGGGGTCTGGTCCACCCAACCTAAAGGGGAAGAACATATATACATCAATAGAAATAAAAAGAAATGAACAACATTCATAGTGCCTGGCCTTTAGAGTCCTACCAAAATGTATTTTCCCATTTTAGGCACATTGCGGTACAATACCAATCTGATTCATTATTTTTGGAGGTCCATTGGCTAAACCTCCGTACTTAAACTGCCAAGTTCTCCAACCCACAAATGTCACTATAAGAGCCTTTACTCTCCTTGTTGGATACACACACCAGAAGTCTTCAGGCCAGTAATATGACACATAGGGTCCCTTCCATCTTGTCCTGGTGGTCTTCAATGATGCAGAGAGTGGTACAGACAACATCAGCACCACTTTCTGCGTCAATACATGGTCAGTACGCACAGCATCATTCAACACGGAGGACTGAGGACATTTTGTGGCTGGGAAATGAGGTACTGAGGGAGACAGCTCCAGACTGGCAGGCAGAAGATTTTTTTTTAAGCCACCAGAGAGATGTTAAAAATGTAGTTGAGGAAAGGACAGAGTTGAGAACTATGACGGGGGAGATATTGGCACCACAGTCCCAGAGGAAGAAAAAAAAGAAGCTGGTGTAAGAATTAAGTTACCTACATCTGTCAAAAACTGAAATATCATTTGTGAGTACTTATAACTAGTTATCCATCAGGGAAAACCTATTCTGGGTACAAGGTTTGGTAATGTTACCCTTCTCCCTGCAAAATATTTTTATTTGATGCCATTACAATACCAGTCAGGTAAATTAGGACTGAATGCGCCTTAAAAATTACAGCCGACACCTAACTTATGGGTTTTGTTCTAGTTGTCAATGGCTTCCAAAATTATTTTTGCCTCCTTAATTCCATAACAATTGGTCCACCCCTGATGTAAAGACACCGGCCACTTATAACTTTGAGCTCTAGAGCTGAGTGGCACTCCGGGGGCAGCAGTGCCCACACCAGAGGTAGATAGTACTGGCCATGGCAGGGATTGCTGGGTCACAGTACCCATTGTAATCACGTATGATCCCTTGTTACACATTTACAGTTCAAAGCATGGCACACGTGAATACCTGTTCCTGCACAATAAGACTTAAGAGGCAAAACAAAAAAGGCTACAAAACCTATTACACAACTTCATAGAGTGATTGTGTTTTCTCTTACACTTCATTATTGCTAAACAATGTTAATCTGTACTGATAAGGAGAGCACTTCCATTTCATCCCTTAACAACAGTTGTCACAAATAGAAATTAAACAATCTTATTACCCAACACTTGATGAAAAGGCTTAAATATCCGCTAACAGAACAGCCAATGTCAGCCTCTAATAAACAAAATCGTACCCGCAGTACCCTGCAAGAGAAGAACCCCGATACTCACCTCTCCAACAGCTTGTGTCAGTTCCAGCGCTGTGGCCTCCATCAGTTTCTTTGGCATCATACAATTCCAGAATGTCAGATGTCCGTGTTCTCTGCCTTGTGCTGTGTCTCTTTCCTCCGACTCTCACGTCACTACAGGGACACAGCAAGAATGAGGATGGAGAAGGAACCACAGCACGCAGCAGGGGCACAGACGTCTGACACCCCCCGAAACCTTGATATGTTGGAACAAAGGGGAGGTAGAAGACACAGGCCACTAGAGAGTAGAGTATAAGGGCTCATCTCTTGCAGTATGATTTTATTATTGACCCAGTGTCAGTCATGTGACCAGATATTTAAGCCTGTTGCGTAAGGGCTTGTTGACACCAGCCTACATGCGTTATGCTCCACCTACGCACAAGTGTGCATTCTGTAGGGGCAGTGAGATGCGATGTTACAATGTATCACACAGTTTACCTTTTTTCTTGAAACTTTATTGAAATGTCACAAAATGACATCAGATTCACCTCCAAGTACAGAAGTGTGTCATGCAATGAGCTGCTTTGTGGTGCATAAAAGTGCCCTAGTGTGTTTTACAACGGACATTGTGTGCACGAGCTCTAGTGTTGGGTAATAACATTGTTTAATCTCTATTTGTGACAACTGTTGTTATGGTGTAAAATTTAAGTGCTTCAGGACTGACAGCGCCTCTAGAAGAAGTTTAAAGAAAGCCAGAGGAAGGGATTATAGGTGACCACACATAGAGAATGATCCAACATGGACACGGTCCATTAATCTGATGATATCTGCAAACACAGCAACTACGTCAAGGGCTCCTTCACACCATCTCTGTTGGGCTGTGTTGCCCAATGTAAGGACAAGACAAATATCCTCATGTTCTAAGCTGTCCTATGTACAACTGCGCTTCATTGCTGTGCACTGAAAAATAATAAGACATGTGGCATTTATACTCCGTGCGTTCCAACACGCTGCAATGCACATTAAGAGCATTAAGAAAAAAAGAAAAAAAAGGCATCTGCAAGGTCTTGAAAATGCATTTCATTACAGAGATAAAGTTATATTTAAAAAGGAGTAAAACGGCTTAAACCATCGGAATATATGTTTCCACCTGCTAACCTGTAATATTATTCAGTCTTGTGATATAGCTTACTCACTCAACCGCAATCAGCCTCCTGACTAAACTTTACTCCCTTTGCCTGTCAGCAAGGTCCTAGTGTTAGACTGACAGCACCATAACTGATCAGAATGCTTTCCTCCTCATCTCAGTCCCAGCCCTACCGTGCAGGATATTACAAGAAATCAATAGTAGTTACTAAGCATAGGCTCACATGGGTGCTGGATGAAGAAGAACATCCACTGCCTTAAGAGGTGATCTAATTGTGAAGCAATTTAAGGGTGTATTCACACTAGGCACAGTCGCCTTACACCTTGTACTCAGTTACGTCATATATACCCTTCACTATCTGAGTGGGCACAAATGGATCCAATCTGCTCCAGTGTTCAAGTTCTGCGATCACAGATATGCATAAACTGCCTGAGTCCAACTGAACCATGTGTGTCCCCAGGGGGCGGGGCCAGGGTATGGTATGGTGAACAGTGCACAAGTGGTGGGCTGAACGGTGTCCAGCGGTGGACAAATAAATATGGAATTCATGAGCCAGCCTGTCCAATCCAGCGGGTAGCAGGATTTCCCCCCCAGAAACCAGCTCCATGGACAACTAGAGAAAACCTCAAAAGTTAGTTGTCAGCAGTACTTTCTAAGGCGCATGGGCTACCTGACTCCTGGGATTTGTCCAATCCTGAACTAAGTACTGTCCGAAGCATTCACACTACACAAATGAACTGGACTTTAAAGGGTCAAATGTGCTTGGACAGGATTCCTACACCCTGGTGTGAGTACACCCTAAATCAATAAAGAGTACAATACAAACTACATGCAGCGTTCAAGTCTATACAATACAAAGCTGGAATACCAAAGAACGGCACAAGCATGTACAGACAGCCTGTCGCAGTAATCTGCACAACTGATCTTATTTTTACAGTCACAATATAGCAGAATAGACAGTACAACAGCATTGTCCCAATGTTGTCCACTGCAGTCACCTATACATCACTGGTCTATAAATCAGTACATAGAGCAAAGTGTCCGTTATCATGTTGGCTGAGGGACCATTCACACCTTGTTGTCCTAGTGAGTTATGCTGATGCACTTTTTTCCTTAGTGTTAACGTGCTGCATTAAGGCAGCCCACTGAGAGGAATGAGTTTCAGATCAAATGTCCTAAGAAGTTTAGCTATGCATAGCAACACCAGGCATGGTAGTACATTATGGTGCACTGCAGCACACATAGTGCCCTAGGAAATGAATAGCAGTGCATTGAGTTGACACATGTGCATTACTGCAGTGCAACAGTGTTCACTGGCCCTTAAAGGAGAACAATAGGGGGAGTGAACACCACCCATCCCAAAGTTAGAGCCGACGTGTGACAGTGAGACTGTCACACGTCGGCTCAATAGATCGGGAAGTGAGCGAACACATACCGTCGCTCGCCACTCCCCGATCATCTCCCTGCAGAGAGTGGTGACTGTCAGTCATCGCTTCCCACAGGGATTCCCTCCTCCCCTCTCCTCCAGCGCTGACTGAAGGGACGGACAGGGGAGGGAGCCCGTTGTCAAACAGCCAGCAGGGTAGATCTCAACATTATTGTTGGGATCTGTCCCGGCTGCAGATCTCTCAATATATAGCAGGGCAATAGCTCACAATATACCGAGTTTTGGGTCACAGGAGGAGGTTAGTATATGTCCTCCTGAGGCCCTAAAGAGAACTATGGGATAAAAAAGGTTAAAGTGTACAGTATGTGCAGCCGAAGGTTTTCTTTAGTGTTTGGTAGGGCAGGGAAGGGTTAGAACCCCTGCCAGGTTTTAGTGCTATTTAGGGCTCTATTAGAGATTTACCCACACTTCCTGTCCTGCTGACAACATTTCACCAGACAGGAAGTGAAAAGAATTCTCTAGCAGCAATACAAGACCTTGACATTAGAAACGATTTTCTACAAGAATAAAGGAAGGATTAGATTTATAACCATTCCGCCCGGCTAGATGGGACTACCATATAAATCTAAATGTACAAAAAGCCAACATTCCAACTTACAATCCAGATAGTTTACTGACGTTCCATATCAGAACATAACACCAACGTTTCCAGGGAGCGGGGAGCCTCCTTATTCAAGGGGATGAGCAGAGACTAATGAACTCCAACCGTACAGGAATATGTATACACTCATTAACAGACCACAGGTGAACAACCAGTGAACAACGTCTGGTCTATGAATACCACAAAACCACCATAGATGAAGAAGCTGACTACGTGTAATAAGATCTGATCAGGCAGCTCCTATGTATGTGGATCCTCCATTCAGGATGGAGCACAGAGGTTCTGCACCAGCAGAAATCACATTCATATCTCTGTCTGTGTCCCTGTTGCAGATTTTGTCTCATTTCCTGTTTTGTAAATTGTTGTCAGCAGGACAGGAAGTGAGGGGAAGGCTCTCTCACGGAGCATTAATACAAACCCATGAGGCTTTCTAATGCTTCCACATCTGAAAACTAAAAAAGTTTTTTTGACTCGACACACTTTCAGAGCTCATTCACACAGTTGTGATAAAACGCAGTACAGTACACATGTAACGTACAAATGTTTACATATGTACAGTGTACATGGAGCCTATTGGCTCCCGCTCAGGGCTGACATGTCAATATTGACAATGTGTATCCAGCAGCGCTGCCTCTGCTGATCACACACTAGTCATTGATGAGGCGGCGGATGCAAAGGGTGACCTCAAGCCTTCAGTCATTCATAATCGGTGGAGGTCACTCTGCATTAGTGACATGCTATCAGCAGAGGCAGCATCACCACTGGCTACACACTGTTGATATTGGCACAATGGCCCTCAGCAGCAACAGCTAAATGGGTCCATGTACGCATGTAAACATAGCACAATGTTTGACACAGGAGCTTTCTTCCAGCTTTGGCCATGAAGATCCTGCGTTACAGTAGTACATCCGTCTGATAGCACCCATAGACAGTCCATTCATTTCAATGCATCAGAAAGCACAAACATAAAACTCCAGCCCCATACCTCAGATGCAGCACACCGTAACACGATAGTCATGCTTGACACACACTCGTCCTCTAGCCCGCAGGGATGAGAGAAACAAGAACAAAAAGTTCAATTCTTCCCCCGGCGGGCCATTGTATTCAGCAATCAGAGTGCCTGCGGCTGCTTCATACTGCACAGCACCGACATCTGATTGGCTGCAGTCACCGTTTAGCCGGGGGGTGTTCTGACAGGGACGCACGGACCGAATCACCAGGAACCAGACCCCATGTGTGGCCAGCTTTACTGTGCATAGCCGGTCCCTGGAAACACAGCAAACAACATTCATTTCTCTATAGCATGCTGTACTTCACTACCTCAGCTTCCTCTAGTCATATGAAGAGCCGCCTCCTCCTCTTCAGTATGTGTGAAGTAAAGCGGACTATGGGGGGTGAGGAGTACCGAGGACGGTCCCCCCTCACTCCCTTGACATGATATATATACCTATAGCAGGTATGAGTGCAGTGCGGCCTAATGGAGGCTTACCAGTACTTGACTATAGCGGTGACCTGGAGGGGGTTGGGCTGCTCCGGGTACAGCCGCCGACACTCGCCGTAGATGGCATGCAGCCCCGGGGGGAAGATGGACGGGAAGGGCTGGGGTACGCTGCTAGGCCTCATCTCTTCCATCCCCTCCGCACACTCTCAGCGCTAAGAAGCTCGGCGGACGCCCGGGCCACCGCTGGGAAAAGTCCGCTTCTCACACGAAGTCGGCGGAGCTCTCTCCTCCCCTCCTTCCCGGCAACCCCTGAGAGAAATCTCTGGAGAGGCGGCCACACAGCTCGCTGCTGGAGTGTAGATGGTGCTTTTAGCAGTCTGGTCCCATTGGCTACCGAGCCAACCAATGGCCGAGTGCCGTAACCACAGGGTCCCTCTCCAAGTAACTCAGTGGCTAGTGTCTCACCCAATCGTCGAGCGGAAAAAGAATGTCGCCAGTAACGAGGCTCCGCCATGTTTTTGGTTGGATACATTTAGGGTTTTTTTATGTGTGTAGTATATGGTTAGTTTCCTTTCCCCATTTTTGTGTGACAAATAAAACATAATAAATGTAAAAGGAGTGTTGTAACGATATCTGCTTAGTAGAAATGCAAATTAATAAAAAATGACTACTTAAGTCCCATGCACACATTTGTAGGCGTCTTTTGTACATCACATTCACCATGGTAGAACTTTGCATACATTATCAGGAGTGTTGCCACTCATTCTTAAAGCCCATATCTGGACAAATAAATAAGTATGCTCACAGTGAAAAAGATAGCTGTTCATTTTTCTCAGGGGCTGGAGTAAAGTAGATTTACATTCCTGATGCTCGCTCCTGGCGGTCAGCGACCTCCTCTTCACTCCCTTCACTCTACCTGGTGTAATGTCGCTAGACATCCTCATGTCTAAGGTAGGTCTATGAATTCTGCATTAGATGTGATGATGTCAGTGGTATATACACCACTGAAGCCCAGGGAGGAAAAGGTTGAGGGTACTAGTCTAACAGTCTGGAGGGAGCCGCCGAAAGTGCAGATCAGGTAAGTAAATCTGCTTTACTTCGGCCCCCTGAACAAAAGGGAACAATTAGCTAGCCCTTGCAGTGCAGAGAAAGCCCAACTGTAAGAGTCCTTTTTTTTGTTTGCCCTTCAAGGGCTCACCATGTGCATTGGGCTGTGTTGCTCAATGCAGAACTAACATAATGATCAGATGAAAGCCATTGTTTTTAATTGACACAGTTCACAGTTCAGTGGGAGGAATAGTGCCGTGTCAGTGGGAAGAATAGTGTCTTGTCATTGGTACCAGTGGGGGGAATAGTGCCCCATTGTTGGTACAAGTGTTAGGAATAGCGCCCTGTCATTGGTACCATTGGGAGGAATAGTGCCCTGTCATTGGTACCAGTGGAAGGAATAGTGCCCTGTCATTGGTACCAGTGGAAGGAATAGTGCCCTGTCATTGGTACCAGTGGGAGGAAAAGTTCCCCATTGCTGGTGTCAGTGGAAGGAATAGCTCCCCATTGCTGGTGTCAGTGGAAGGAATAGCTCCCCATTGCTGGTGTCAGTGGGAGGAATAGTGGGCCATTGCTGGTGTCAGTGGAAGGAATAGCGCCCCATTGCTGGTGTCAGTGGGAGGAATAGTGGCCCATTGCTGGTGTCAGTGGGAGGAATAGTGGCCCATTGCTGGTGTCAGTGGGAGGAATAGTGGCCCATTGCTGGTGTCAGTGGGAGGAATAGTGGCCCATTGCTGGTGTCAGTGGGAGGAATAGTGGCCCATTGCTGGTGTCAGTGGGAGGAATAGTGGCCCATTGCTGGTGTCAGTGGGAGGAATAGTGGCCCATTGCTGGTGTCAGTGGGAGGAATAGTGGGCCATTGCTGGTGTCAGTGGGAGGAATAGTGGCCCATTGCTGGTGTCAGTGGGAGGAATAGTGGGCTATTGCTGGTGTCAGTGGGAGGAATAGTGGGCCATTGCTGGTGTCAGTGGAAGGAATAGTGGCCCATTGCTGGTGTCAGTGGTAGGAATAGTGGCCCATTGCTAGTATCGATGGAAAGAATAGCGCCCCATGGTTGGTGTCAGCAGGAGGAAAAGTGCCCCATCGTTAGTGTCAGTGGAAGGAAAGGAATAGTGCCCTGTTTTTGGTGTCAGCGGGAGGAGTAGTGCCCTGTTGTTGGTGTCAATAGAAGGAAACGTGCCCCATCACTGATGTTAGCAGGAGGAATAGTATCGCACTGTTGACATCAGTGGGAATAACAGCGCCCCAAGGGTCAGTTGAAGGCAAGTACCGTAAATGGCCACTTTTAGCCATTGTGCCGCATTTTTGGGATCACTGATTTTTGCCTGATTTTGATACAAATTGTATCTGTCAGATGGACAGAATTTACCAGCAGCTACAAATTAAATTTAAAGTTGATGTCTGAGATGAAGCCTGAAACAAAGCCTGCCTATGTATGTCTAGGCTTTGTCTGAGTCTTCTGTACCCTGCCTGGCTCTTCATGTAGAGTATAAGTAGTGACATCTGATGAGATCACACTTTCCATGTACTGCTGCCTTCGCCAGCGCAGCCTCACTTGGCTTGTCTCGTCTACATCCTGCCCACGCCCATTCCCCTATTTGCGCATGTGCAAAATACGGCCGGCCTTCACGCATGCGCAAAGGAGGCTGAGCGCCGTACCGTCCCTTAGTGGTCTGCGCAGGCGCAGCTGTAGCCGGCCCGTCATCTCCTGGACAGGAGGAAGCAGCCATGGAGTCATACGATGTGATCGCGAACCAGCCTGTGGTGATTGATAATGTAAGTAGCGCTGCACACAGTAGGCATTTGCACACAGCTCCCTTATGTCTCGCTAGGCCGGGGGTTTGTACAGCAAACGAGGGTGGAAGCGGTGCTGCCATTACATTTTCCCTTTGTCATTATTGCAACCGCGCCCTCCTGCCACACTGACAGCACCGCTACAATATTCAGCGGCGCTGCGGGCCTGCACACTATGCGCACGGACTGTGACAGGGGAAGCCGCTATAGATGGGGACTGTGGATTTTTTATTTTTCAATTAGGTGTTTGGGGGCGATGGGGCTGCGAGCAGTCAATCTAACTTGCTGCTGCCACAGAACACGCCTTGGGGTCCAGGTAGGCGTGGTAAACCGACGGGACCTGCATTCCCATTGGGCAAGATCGCCGCCGCTCAGCTAGCAGATAATAGGCGGGGATGAATGGCGTCCCTTGTCCGCAGTTCTGATTGGGCCTTAGCTTGATTGGCAGCTGCTGTTGGATTTCTGTTTGGAGCCATTGTGAAAGGGCGGGGTTTGTCGATTGGGTGCGGAGCGGTGGGGAGGGGGCTGGCCCATTATGTGGGTTAGGTTGGCTTTAGATTGGGTAGGATGTGATAACACAGTGAAGTGTGGCGGTGATTGTAGAACAGCTGAGCATTCATAGCAAACAGAGAACGGCGATGCACAATCCCTATCCGTGCTCTGTGTTGTGGGGGCAGAGTGAGGCTCTTACCTCCAGTCGATGGCTGGGCTGCCATTGCAGGCCTTCCTTGGAAAATGCTAGTTGCCTTGCACCAGGTCAAGTCACAGACTTGGAACAAGTCAGAAATCCTGATCTGCAAATGTACTGGAGTGCTTCGACCAACATAGCCAGGGAATTGGCATTTTCAGATGAGGTCAGCAATGGTAGCTTTTACAGTACAGTTATCCTTTAAAACCCAATGATGTGCTCTTCTTCCCAATCAGTGATCACACAGACCCCAGATGAGGCTGAAAATGACACAATTACACCGAGATCTAATAGTTTCAGTACATCCGATGTTCAGCATCATGCTGGTCATCCATGATCTGCCAGCACTTTCAGATCAAAGTTCCCAGCCTGGCAGATCTCTTGGGATGCAGACGTTGGTCTCCCAATTGGTGCCAGGATAGGGTGCTCTGGCATTCAAGGCAAAGCTGTCAGTGCCCCCCACCCTGTGCTGTGGCAGATGAAGCAATAGTTTTTCTATGTGATCATTCAATAAACAAGAGTTTTGCACTTTGATACAAACTTGTTGGAGTGCTGATTAGGTATCAACTTGGGTTCAGGCCGAACCGGAACCCGGTCCAATCAGCTGTGGCCGGGCATTTCCTGCAGCTGCATGTAAACAAAGGGGCGGGAGGCTGGTGACATAATTTGGCCTTATATGGTCATATTAGGTCAAAGTCATTGATCAAATAAGGTCCATGATCTTATTCATGTGATACATGCTGACCAGTCAGGACCATAGTCAGCCTTTTAACCATATGGAAAATTCTGGCATATGGTTTGCAAGAGGAACATACTCCATGACCCCAGATGGTTGTCCACCATAGTGGTGTGCTCTGTACAATAAGCATATACATGCCATGTATTCCATCAGATACAAAGGATTTTCTATCCATTATCACCTGGATTTCTAGTATGAAAAGTTTAAAGGATTGGTTCATTATAAAAAAAAAATAAGATGAACAAACTCACACCATGTTCCCCAACACCAGACTAGCCCCCCCCCCCAATATCCACTGCACTTAGCAACAAGGAAGATTATCTCCCTCTGCTCATATCAGACCAAATAATGGTCCTGATACTTGAAAACTTCACTACACAGTCCTGGAGGCTGTGTAGCAACATCATTCTTGCAATGGCGAGCTGTCATTGGTCCGCACGGTCACGTGAATTTCTATAGAGCATTTTATCCTTCTGGTATGGCGACCTTGAAGAAAGGAGATTCTTATCGGCCCGTGCAGTCATGTGACCACGCTTACCAATGACCGATCACCCGTGGATTTTCAGTAAAGGAATATCCTTGCTAAATGCTTTGTTAGTTTTGCATGTACATCCTTGCCTTCTACAGTAACCCGTGCAGCAAGCAGTTGTCACCAGTGATGTTTGCAGTGGCTGCATATCCTGCAATCTGTCATGGTGGTCTTGGTTAGTTTGTCACTACTCACTTAGTAATCTGTGTACAGATTGATCAGAGCAGGTTTGCTTCCATTAGTGTGGCACACTTGGCATTCCGGCTCCAGTCTGCCTTTTAGGGCTTGTGCACACCAGGTCCGCATCATGTCCAGACCACAACAGTTTGTTCCCAGACCAACAAAGCATCTCAATGTATCCCTATAGTATTTCTGGGCTCTGTTCACACCAGCGCAGACTGTTCCGGACCAGACTAAAAAAAAAAAAATACAGCTTGTCTCATTTTCTCTGGTCTGTACTGGAACACATGGAGACCACATGAAGAACGCATGCAAATGCACCGGAAAGCCCATGTTAGGTAAAAAAAATCCGCTCCGTGTTTCAGATCTGTACTGGAAAATGATGTGAACCTGGCCTTAAGATAAGCCCATCACCCAGCATCCACCTATGGGTAACCTTAAACATCTGTGAGAATCAGATCTTTACATCCGCTGTCCCCAGCAGACTTTGACAGCCATCAGTGGCAATGCGAGGACCATTACCAAAGGGTACACTGTGCGTCAGTGCAGATCAACAGGCCAACAATGCACGGAAAAGCATGTGTAGCTCTTTTTGTGAGATGCCGGGAGGGGATTGGGCATTCCTAGGAATTGGCTTCACTTGCCAGCTATGGCTTTATCTCCTGTGTTCTGAGATGGAACACAAGAAGCCTCATCCAGTCCAGCAGGGTCAGTGATGTTTATATTCCTAGGAATAGAGACCTGAGAGCTTCGCTATAGTAGTGAGGTACCTTGGCGGTGGTTACCCAGCAAGATCCTAGAAGACTTGCTGCACAGAGGTTGTGTTTGGGTAGGGTCATCTACCACTTGGGTATAGGGGGTATTTCTGTAGAAGTGGTGACTAGTGCTTAACAATCTTTGCAAGAAATGAAAACTGGAGAACCTCTTTAACTGAAGGCTGCTGGAATTGTGAACAGCCGGGGATTAGAAATGCAAAAATCTAACTGAAAAATCCCATTGTGTCGTCCCCCCCCCGCCTTCTGGTATTATACATTGTACGGCTATATTAATATAGTTACTGTTATGACATTGTACCTTTTCTCCCATTAGGGCTCTGGAGTCATTAAAGCTGGCTTTGCTGGTGATCAGATCCCAAAGTATTGCTTTCCTAACTAGTAAGTGCGCCTCCTTTATTGATGAACTGTTATGTTGCTGCTGTACAAGGTGAAGCTTGTAACCTTCTGTTGTGTTTCTGTTTAGTGTGGGGCGGCCAAAGCATATTCGAGTCATGGCTGGTGCCTTAGAAGGAGATCTATTTATTGGACCAAAGGCAGAGGTAAGGCTCTTTGTAAAGTAGCCACTGAATATTTCCTGAAGTGTTTAACCTGTGGGGGATATATTCCAATGTAATACTGACATATTGTAACATTTTCCTTCTAGGAACACAGAGGCTTACTATCTATCCGATACCCCATGGAACACGGCATTGTGAAGGACTGGAATGACATGGAACGCATCTGGCAGTATGTCTATTCAAAAGATCAGCTTCAGACGTTTTCTGAAGAGGTACGGTGGAGTTATCCTTAAAGGGCTTGTCCACTTTGAAAGAAAATAGGAAACCTGTTTGGGAGTGCCCATATGCTAAACGGTGTAGTCAGTTTTCTTCTGACAATCAGCTGTTTGCCTGCATTAGGCTTTCAAGGCTAAAGCTGTGCCGCAAATGCGATGTCTGTTGTCCATGTGGGACACAACTGAAGCTGTTTTCTGCTTTTTTGGTGGCATTGGAAAGCCACACACTTTAAATCATTTTATTAACAACATGCTACACATAGGGGTTTGTTTTATAGCTTCACGCAGGATTCACACATTTTCTAATTAAATTCTCGTAGGAAAATGTGTGAATCTTGGGTGAAAGTTGTGTGCTTATTGTAGGAAAACATTGATAAATGAACCCCTATGTGTAGCATATTGCTTTTCTGATGGCAAAAAGAAAGCAGATAACACCTTCAAATGTGTGATTCCCGAGGCCAGGTTCACACCTGGGCGATCCGTGACCGTGCAGCAATTGTGCACGAAATTATTTTATTTAATGGCACTCCAGTCGCCCCAGGCATTTTCCGCGGTTTCCCACTGAGATACCGCCTGTGCAGTTGCACACGATCGCGGGTTAAAAAACTGCGCGGTGCATGTCGCCAAACTTGTACCCTTTTTGTTTTTTTGTACGATGTACAAACCTCGTTGAAATCAATGGGGCTGCGTGGTAACTGCTGTATGCACCCGCACACGCTCGCACGGTCCCAAGATTGCCGAAATCTGAACCAGCCCTGAGTGAAAACATTTATAAATAGATCTGGAAAGCTGTCACACAAACAGCACCTCTGTGTCCTTTCTCTTCTCATTTTAGAACTGATGCCTGGCCTGGGTGCCTGAAATCGATTTGCCTGTTTTTGAGCTTTCTATGTTGAAAGCCCAACATGCCCTGTATTGGTAGCCTTTGGAGGCACCCTGCATGTACAACATTCAAATTAAAGGGATAGTTCACCTTTATACTGAAAATTACAGCGCAGTCAAGGGGCCCCATTAGATTACAGTCATGGTGATTTTTTTTTTAAAATTGAGCATTGTTTAAATTCCATACCTGCAGGCTTCCGCAAAGCCTTGTAAAAAAAAAAAAAGCATTCTGAGCTATCCGCGCCACGCTGCGTCTGTTGAGAACACCACCATCATCCCAGGAACGAGTTTCTTCCTCATCTACAAATCCGCATATGTGCATTGTGCTCCACCTCCGCTGAGCTCAGATAGGGCCTTTCATCCTAGCCTATACGTAGGACAGCATGGACTGCTCGGGAGGCTACTTTTTTGACCAGGCTTTTCAGAAGATGCGGTTGGCTGAGAGGTATGGAATTATAACCACTCCCTCTTTGGAACTAGCACTATGATTTTTAAACTAAGGCCATTTGACTGCATTGTAATTTTGTGGAAGGTGAACTAACCCTTTAAATTATTATTTTTTTAAAAGCTTTCGACTCTGCTAAGCAAATACCACGGATATTAACCCCTTTTTTTAGGGCAAAGTATTAAAACACTGACATTCAATATAGATTGGCTTGATAATCTTTAATTCTTTTCCACAGCATCCCGTCTTGCTAACAGAAGCGCCCTTGAATCCCCGGAAAAATCGCGAACGAGCGGCAGAAGTTTTCTTTGAGACTTTTAATGTTCCAGCACTGTTCATTTCCATGCAAGCTGTGCTGAGCCTGTGAGTGTCTCACTATATGTCTGTATGGTTTTCTGTGCTACTTTTCTATTGATTTTCTTATTGACTTCAGGCTTCCTGTGTAAAAGTGAATTGCTTTTCTTTTTTTTTCTTAATCTGCAAACTACATTTCAGCTGGAATCTGATTAGATGCTGTAGGCGGCCCTTCCACATCATTTATTTATTTATACATTCATACATGAGTTTCATTTCTGTTCCTTGGATATTCCTTTGCTTTAATCTTTTGTCCATGGTTTTTGAAGATTGCAATTGCACACGCAGGATTAATTTATTCCTAGTTATGAACTATCTTGATTTAATAGGTGTATAACTAAAGGCTCATCTGTATGAGTGCCTGGGCCTTCTGGACTGATATACTTTCTTAATAGAGTTGATTAAGGGCTTGTTCACACGACGTCCGGATTGTGTCCGGACCAGAACCGTGCGCTAATGCATGCCAATGTATCCCTATGTGTTTTATGGTCTACAGTTCTTGCGTGCGCAGTCCGTTCTGGTCCGGACAGAGAAAATACTGCATGTCACATTTTTGTCCGGAAAGGCACAAAAGCGTCAAAACGCACTGCACGCATGGCACTGCGTCTGCAGATCTGCACCAGATCTGGACCGGAAAATCGTGTGATCATGCCCTAAACCTTGAGGCAGCGGATCCGCTTCAAATGCAGATCCATTTCTGCAGTCCGCTCAACCTCTTGCAGCCAGCGGGAGCTTACCTTTTTATTATGCTTTGAACACCAGAGGGACTTCAAACAGGGGATCACTGTGATTGGCTGACACAGTGGTCACCTAATTGGGAGCTTTTCCCACTGGCTGTTGAACATAAACAGTGACCCAGAGCTGTCAGTGACAGTCAGGGAGTGCCTGCTGTACGCATATATGTGGTAACCTGGCGTCAGAACTCAAGACCTTGCTGCCACATAAATATGCATACAGCCAGCAGGAAGAGGTTAAAGAGATGTAATCATAGCTGAAATCGGGTGGGGTTCCAGCACAGCACCCTAGGTGGAAGAGTCCCCGTAGCATCCTATATTAGATAGAAGGATCTTGGTCTACTGTCCTGGTAGGCAGTTGACGGATATGCCCCCATAGAGAGCTGAGAATGTACAACGGAGGCTCTGCACAATAACTGTGTGCATACACAATGCTTGGGCCATATCAAAGAGAAAATTATGCTCTGGTAGTTTTTAATCCTCTTGGAAAAATGTCAGCACGGTGTCCGCTCAGACTTATTACAATGTCATTGTAATAAGTGAATGGTCAAATCCAGCACTTGAATATACTGATCCGTAGTAAGCCCCCCTTGTCTGTCTCCTTGCTAACCATTCAGCATCCAGAGTGAAAGGTCTGGTATGTGGCATAGCCTGCTGTTCAGTGGAGGAGATGTAATATACAAGTTTAAAATATTATGAGGGTGTTTGAAACTACACTGTGTACTGCTGCTTGTTTTGTGGGTCAGGCTTAAGAGTTTATCCAAGAGGCAAGCTATAGATATATATTTTATGATTATTCTTTTTTTTTTACAATCTCAGACTGGTGTTTATTGCTGTGATTTTCACTAAAAAAATCTCTCTCTATATTCAATAAAAGAATGAATAAATATCTTCTCTTCCTCCATCCAGCTATGCCACAGGGAGAACAACGGGGGTTGTCCTGGACTCCGGAGATGGAGTAACACACGCAGTGCCCATCTATGAAGGCTTTGCCATGCCTCACTCCATCATGAGGATTGACATTGCTGGCCGAGATGTCTCCCGCTTCCTCCGGCTTTATTTGCGGAAAGAGGGCTATGACTTCCATACCTCAGCTGAGTTTGAAATTGTCAAAACCATTAAGGAGGTTTGTAGTGCTTTTATTTCTGAGGTGTACAAAAGTGGTAAAACGTGGAGTATGGGTTTAAAACACAGCTAAAGTGGCATTAAAGTTAGGGATGCACAGATACTTTTCGAGTACCAGTGCAGATACCTGGCATTTTCACAAGAACTACCAAGGTTGCAGCGGTTGCAGCTGGGACTTGGCTCTGGCACTCCACCACTGTCCTGAAATCATTAGTCCTGTATTGTTTTAGAAAAACTGTCACATGACAATAAACAAAAATGTATCGGTACTCGTACTTGTAAGTACTCGGCAAGTACCAGTACTCGTACTCGCAAAACTGGTATCTGTGCATCCCTTTATTTATATTTATAAAAACAAAATCGTACATTAAAACAGATGTACAAATCCCAGGAGCTCCGTGTGCTCCTTACAAATGACAGCTGCCTCCTAACTTCTGAATTTTTCTCTAGTCTAGTCTTGGAGCGCAAAAGTATCGGTACATGTACTCGTACTTGTACCGAGTACTGTACTTGGTATCTGTGCAATCCTAATTGAAGTCATAAGGTGGGTGGATAGGCATGCATGATCTGACCACCATCAAACATTGCAATGGTGGGACATCCTCCTGAACACAAATGATTGGTTCAGCCAGATGGTCATGTCTGTGGGCAGATTCCCAGATGTAATTATAGTTGGCCATGTGCAGTCAGATTGTGGTTCAGGTTTGATTTGCTCCCACTGCATATTGTAAGGGTCTACCTGATCAGATATCATTTTTATAGACTGTATGATGGATAGAAAATGTGTCCATCTAGCAAATCATATTTAAAACAAATTTCTTATTACATGTTAAAGCTGAACCCCAGTCTTATCTTCACTCTTGTACAGTTGTACTGGCTCCTTTCCTTTACTGAAGCGGCTTACTGTGATTTCACTGCACTCTGTGAGCTTTTTACAAATGTTCTCTCTTGTTCTGTGTAGCGTGCATGTTACCTGTCCATAAATCCACAAAAAGATGAGACGTTGGAGACAGAGAAGGCCCAGTATTACTTACCTGACGGAAGCACCATTGAGGTATGTACTCAAGCAGTGGACTGTATAGACATGTCAGTGTGCATTGACTAACTCAGGCCTTTGGGAAATAGGAAACTACTGCTTGGAAAGTCTAGACAGGGCGCTAGTACACATAAATGACATGGCAGCTGTAATATGAGTAATAGCAGTAGTAGGGCTGCTGCAATGCTTCAATGACAAGTATCCTTAACTCTTTGGGTGTGACTGCTTTACTATATATTAGGTTTTTTTATTGGTGACTTTCATTCTTTTTACAGCGTAATTAAAATGCTGTATTTGTCTCACTGAAGAGTTTCACATATTTGTTACTCTGCATATAGGTTATGTTTTTGTTAATGCTTTAGATGCACAGAATTTAGTTTTATAGCATTTGTGAAGTTCCCAAGGATAGCTCATGTCAAAAGTTATGTATACCAAGTCAGTGTGAACCTCCTAAATGTTTTGTGGATTCTCCTTTTAAAGGTACACTTAAAATTGGCATTAATGCTTGGATGCAGGGCAAATAGCTAAATACAGGATTCAATTACAGTCAGCTGTTGTGACTGTCAAAGTATTTGTATCTCTGTTCAGCTAGTCTTACATTCCAAGCTACCTTCCTAGAAGGCACAACCAGTTTCTGGACCTCCTTGAAATTCATAATATAGTGAAACGGTACAGCTTGGCCCAGGACCCACCCTTCATGTCTCTGGAGAAAGCATGAGTAGCTGAATATTGATGAGGTCATCCCTCTGCTCCCTCCTCCTGTAGACATGGTTACAGTGTTACTGAGAGGTGTGCAAAGCAATAGAGCTGTTAAACTCTGGCTGACGCTGCACTTTATGTTCTTTTGGATAAAATGCAATGATAGACTTTTTTAACATGCCTTTTAATCCCCGTCTGGGTCCTGGTTGGATAGATTATTTCTGTGTGGTCACTGAGTCAATGAGGGTATGGCTCTAATGTGTTTTGTGCCCTGCAGTGGTTGTCGATTTGTGCTACTTACAACACAAGGCACTATTTACCTTTTTTTTTTTTTTTAAACTTTATTGAAATGTCACAAAATGACATTTTATTAATTTCTATTCACCGCCAATGAATCATGACTTCAGGTGGGCTGCGATGTATTATGGGAAAATGCATGTCTGCATTTTTATGCAACATACTGCAACCCACCTGAAGGCAGCGTTGTGGTGTGAATGAGGAGCAGTTCTCTCTGTGCCTTATGCGGTGAGCCTGCATTGATCTGTGCAGAGTAATATAGGTCACCCCACATGGTATGTATGAGCCCTAACACATACTAGTAAGGAATACAGTACATCTAAAGTCAATATTTTTGCCCAGCCAGAACATTTTGAAAAATATATTTATAGTTGCTTATTTTTCCCTTTTGGAAGAAAGCCAAGCCTTTCATATGACCATTATGTTCATATTTCTTTTTTAATTGGACATCCTCAAAAACCTAATACGAATGTGTTCAAGATGCCATAACAGCACAGTAAGGGTATTCATTCCTGGACTACATAGACCTCCTGATTTAGCTCTGCATTGTCCTTTATACAGATCATAAGGCATTCTGGGATGGCTGTGCCGAGTGACTCACCCGTGTGTGATCTCTGGGTGTGGTAGACAAGTAGTGCCAACATTTCTGAAGTTTCAGATGTTGCACCTTCTGTTGTCTTGTTAATCTTACAGATGTTTCTTCTTCTATGTAGATTGGCCCAGCCCGATTCCGGGCACCTGAGCTGCTGTTCCGACCAGACCTTATTGGAGAGGAGTGTGAAGGAATTCACGAGGTGTTAGTATTCGCCATTCAGAAGTCAGACATGGACCTAAGGCGGACCTTGTTCTCCAACATAGTGCTCTCTGGAGGATCCACCTTATTTAAAGGTGCTGACTAATATCATTGTTTTTTTCTGCTGCATTAGAAAGCTTGGGTGCATCCCACGTGGATTTTCAAAGTACGGTAACCAAATCATTAGTCATACTTTGCAATGGCAAATCTAAATCATATGTTCTTTATAGTATATTCATTTGTTACTGCTGGTATCCTTAAAGCACTTCTCACCTAATATGAGAAAATTCAGTGTCAGATTGGATTTGATGTATAAAGTCTATTTTTACTTACCATGGTGGCGTCACAGTAGTTGGTTCTCTGTATGTAGCGGTGTTCTCTGAAGGTGATCAGCCGAGGCCCTGGTGTAAGTAAAACAGGTGTTACAACCATGCACTCTACTCATTCCCTGTATATGAATACAGACAAGGATGTGGTATATGAATACAGACAAGGATGTGGCTTCTATCATTTGAAATTGTTCAGACTGCTGTCTGATGAGAGAGTGGTCTGAGGCAGGCAGGGGGGACTGGTCACTATACAGTAAGTGCTGGTGCCAAGGTTTACATATTATCATTTTACTTTTTAAATCTTATTTAAAAGTATTTTTAAGTTTAACTATAACTGTATTCCTAGACAAAACTAAAACCTCTCGCCTCGCTGTCCATGCTGCACGATTCCCGGCGGGTTTTCTAGCCTGCTGGCACGACGGAAGACGTGCGACCGTACAGTAGAAACGGTCGCACGCCTTCCATTTCCCGCGATTCTCATACGAGAATCGTGCAGTGTATGGGCACCTTTTACACAGACTTTACATCATCTGGCTTTCCTGCATGGTAACACATGCAGTACAGTGTTCTACATGGAAGGATGGGTGGTTGGAACTTTGGTAGTGTCCGCCTGCCTAACACAGACCTTTCATCATCTGGCTTTCCTGCATAGTAACACATGCACTACAGTGTTCTTCAGAGGAAGGATGGGTAGTAGGAACCTTGGTACTGTCAGCCTAACACAGACCCTACAAACAGTGCAACCTAAATTCTCCAAGTTCATATGGGGCATTCATGTGCAGTTTCCAACTCAGATTTTGCATTTATTGTTTATATGATGAACACTGCATTAATACTGAAGGTCACTGAGACCACTTACTGTTATTCACTGTACTCGGACTGCTCTGTAACCATGTGTCATCTTCTTCCAGGATTTGGGGACAGACTTCTGAGTGAAGTAAAAAAATTAGCACCAAAAGATGTAAAAATAAGGGTATGTTTCTTTTTCTTTCATTTATTAATTGTTTTTGTCTGCATCATTTTGTTTTTTGTAAAGTGGAGAAATGTTAGCTCATGGGTTTTTGTTTGCTGTTTGTATCCACTTTGGGGAGATTCAGCTACTTGGATAGAAAATGAGGGTAAATCTCATCAGTGGGAACATATAAGTTTTCCTCACAGGTATCCACACGGGTAGTTAACATTACAGGATGCAGATTAGTCAACCTAGACATTAGTGACATGCACTGTTAGTAGGCTCATGTATAGGTTTATGATTCAAAGTTAGTAAATTAGCGTGTATTTACATAGGGGTCTATTTATTAAAAAAAAAAAATTGCATAGCTATTCAGTGAAACTGTAGGTTCGTTTGTTCTGTGAGGATGGGGCAAATTGAATAGTTGATGATCAAATATGAAAAAAAAAGGTTAATTCGTTGGGTGAATCAGGAAAATACTGCATTATGGCCTCTAGATGGAGCTGAGGATCATAGAAAATGAATACATCTTAGTAGCAGCAATACATTGTAACAATACTAGAGGACTCTGGAGGGAAATGGCAAATAGATGTAACCATTGCTACTACAGGGATCCCCATCTTTATCTTCTAATTTCCTGTCTTGTTTAAATTGCTGTTTGTGACCCCACTGGGGAGATTCCTCCTCACCTGCTGTGCGGTTATTGGGACAGAAAGTGAATCTCTCCAACAAATATAGGAATGGCAATAAAGGCTCTGATTTTCCTGCTATCTGTGATCTCCTTGCTTCCTTAAAGGAGAACTATGAGGTGAGTGCTTTTCACTCACCTCCTTGTTCTAGACGACCTGTGACAATGAGACTGTCACAGGTCGGCTCAGTAGATCGGGAGGTGAGCGAACACATACCGGCATTCGCTCACCTCTCGATCCTGTCATGGCTCTCTGCCGTGACCGGAGGGGCTGGATTCCCCCCGCTCCGATCCGCCAGCGCTGACTGGCAGACCGGGAGGGGGCGGGTACAGCTGGCTCTGCCTCTAGATAGGCAGAGCCAGCTGTCAGTCACGCAGCTGGGCGGATCCAGACATAATTGTCGGGATCCGCTTCAGCTGCGGCGTCTCAGTATACCGCGAGCTACAGCTCGCGGTATACTGAGCCTAGGGTGACGGGAGGACGCTAGTTTGTCTCCTCCCGTTACCCTAAGGAGAACTAATGGGGTAAAGCCTTAACCCCATAGTTCTCCTTAATAATGACCACGGAGGAAGAGAGAAGAAATCTGCCTTGGTACAAATAAAGCCTGGCCTAATTCTTTATCTTTTACCACCCTCTTTAAATTTAAGGGTTCGTTCACAATCCGTTTTAGCCTGCTGTCTGGTGTGAAGCGGCAATGCCTTGTGCTGTTACAAAGCCAGGCACTGTTTAACTTAACTGAAATGTCACAAATCACATTTCACCCAGGAGCTGTAGAACGGTGATCAGCACTGGCAGGTGTCACATGAGGAGGTGCATTGCTGAAAAAAAGCATGTCGGCATTTTTTCACACCACAACCCACCTCAGTGCAGCCTTGTGTCAATACGGCACCTAGAAAACAATTGTGAGCCTGCATTGATCTGTGCAAATGAATGCAGGTCACCACAGATGGTGGAACAAGCCCTAAAATAAAAAGAAATACTTTTGTTTGGGGTCAGACTTTTAAGGACCGGCTTTGGATCGCACAGCATAGGTTATAGACCATTGGTACATGTGCCCTACAGGGTTCTCCAGATGAGATGAGAGGTACATTTATCATGAGGGGTGGAAAGTTTAGTAAATGATTTGTAACCTGGATATCAGTTTTTTAGATTTAGTAATGGATTGTTTGGAAAACCTTTGAACAATGGAGAGGGTACCACGAAAGTGGTATTCAAGGTTAGATGATCATTTAAGGATTTGCTTTTAATGTGTTACAATATTTATTTTTCTGTCTAGATATCTGCTCCTCAAGAACGATTATATTCTACATGGATTGGGTAAGTAACCCAGATTTTTTTTTTTTTTTTTAACATAAATACGACTTTGATTTAAAGAAGGAGAGGTTCCTCCTGGTAATACATTAATTAGGCATATGCTCAGTTTATACTGCTCAGGTGTTGTGACAGGTTTACCTTGAATTTGTTGTCTTTTCATTGCGTACATGAAGAATAAATGATTAATGGAGATCAGCTAATTGAATTGTTGCACATATATTGCTACTCTTGTACAATATATGTGGGCAGGTGCAGTCCTTTCTGTCCCATGGATTCAAAACATTAGCACTATGCCTTTTGCTTTTGACTTACTACTGGCAGGTAGATTTTGAAATAGAAAGGAACATTAGCAGGTGCCACCCTTGCTGACATAAAAGAACCATATATGAGTTCCCAATATGTTTAAAAAGCCCAGTTGAACTTTTAATATAAAGGTGATGTCACCTGGGGGACCCTGCCGCCGAGAGACATGATAGTATTCTAGTTACCTCTCTGAAATCGCTCACATGCTGGCCAAGAACACTCTGAATCTTCCTGGCTAGCGAGGGAGGGACATCTTACTGCCCCAGCTAGAAAAGGAGTCATTCCATAAAAACTAATAAGCAATTTCTAGTGGTAACTCTCCAACATCATGATCGCATGTGTAATATTAGCTTAAAAACAGTCGGGTGCATCAAGAAAACAAAGCAAAGCCTCCCAGTTCATAGAAAGCAGTCACAGCCTGATTAGAAAAGCCTGTTCCCTGCCAGCAGGCTGGTGAGAAGGACCCTTGCTCTCTGAATGGGGGCAGTGGTCTCTCTGCAACCCTTTGCCAAGTCAGAGCTAGAGCTTTCTCTGTCAACAGAGAGCATGAACTTTGCTGATTGCAGATCTATAGGTCTGATTCATCAGTCAGCATTTCCGACCTCTGCAGAGAGACCAGGCTAGCAGGGGCCAGGCAATTCTTTTTAGGCAGTGGCTGCTTTCTAAACAAAGTGAACTGTAATTCTTTGCACGTCTGTTGTCTTGATGCACCTTGATTTTGTATTTAGTTGATTTAATACCTCTTGAAATGAATGCTGTTGGGTAGAATTACACACTGGCTTCGTGTATTTTTGGCTACTTCAGTGATAGGATTTCTCCACCTCTATCAGACTTTAAAGCTGAACTCCCAGGCAGTTATAAAATGCAGACAGTGGAAGTACCTGAATTTGACTTGGTATCTCCCTCTTGCAGTGGACTGGACAGCAGGAGGATGTAGAAGCAGCTTAAAGAGCCAATTAGGTGTGCTGTAGTGCATAGTAGGGGAGAGCAGAGTGACAGAGAGATGCGCTTTATAGTGTCTGCACCTTCTCCTTTTAACAGTCTAGTCACAGATTGGGAAGGGAACCTGTAAGTGAAAGGCCCCCCCCCCCCTTTATGGACATGAATAATAATCCTTTGGTTAGCCAAACTCTTCTCGTGTACGTATTTCATCTGTATTTAGTGCGTTGCCCGGAGCTTAGCTTTAAACACAAGTAGTATTTTCCCTCTAATGCAAATGAGAAAATACATTTTATTAGTGGCTAGACATGGGGAGACAAAGTGATGTTATTCAACCCAATGGACTGTAGCTGAAATACCCTTTAAGTAGCATCTGACAAACCAGCCAAATGCCTGACAACATTACAAGTAAGGGTATTAAAAAAAAAAAAATTGCATAGCTATTCAGTGAAACTGTAGGTTCGTTTGTTCTGTGAGGATGGGGCAAATTGAATAGTTGATGATCAAATATGAAAAAAAAGGTTAATTCGTTGGGTGAATCAGGAAAATACTGCATTATGGCCTCTAGATGGAGCTGAGGATCATAGAAAATGAATACATCTTAGTAGCAGCAATACATTGTAACAATACTAGAGGACTCTGGAGGGAAATGGCAAATAGATGTAACCATTGCTACTACAGGGATCCCCATTTGATTCAGTTTCAAATACACATGTTTTACCTTTTCAGTGGATCTATTTTGGCTTCTTTGGACACCTTCAAGAAAATGTGGGTCTCCAAGAAGGAATATGAAGAAGACGGGCCCCGAGCTATCCACAGGAAAACTTTCTAACGTCCCAAAAGACCAAGTCTCTGTATCAGTCCACTTCAGTTTAAAACTCGCTTTTTGAGTATGAGAGTGTGGTTGGGAGGTGACTGGTGGGTGGGTGTGAATGTATGTGTCTGTATGCGCTCTCCAGCATGCCAAGAAGTGGTTAAACGAGGGCAGAAGAGGGCAGCCGAATAAACCCATCGGAGAGGAAAGCCTTTATCCCATTCCTATTTATGTGTTACGTTGCACCAGGGTCTGTAAATGGTCTGTTGCGAAAATATTTTATCGCATTATAGCCTATTTATCCTTAACAGATTACCGTACATAAAGTATAAAGACAAAAAACCTAGCTGGCAGCACATAATGAACTGTTCAGTGACGTATGTGACCCCCGCACTTCTTCGCCACACAGGCCTTCAGAATTACGTTTACTTGAGTCAACAAAAAACGTTTCTTGAACCTGTAATATGTCAGACTAGTTTAAAGACATGGATTTTGGAAATGTTTCTATTGCATGATAATAAAAGAACAGTATAGTTATATAGTTGGACATCTGGAATATTTTTATTTCTTTTTGGTAAAGTATCCCTGTGACAAAGCCTGTCTGCAGGTCAGTGTAGGTTCCAGGATGTTCACCTATAGGATTTATTAGTCTGGTAACCTGTAATGTCTGCTCTGTGTTTTATATTTTATATGCAGAAACTAAGGGGACTAAGTAGCCCTGTCTCAATCTTTGGGTCCTTGTACACCTGGGAAGAGGGGCCAGCTAGGTAACCCTGTTTCATCAGCCTTGTTAACCTGGAAGGAGGGACCAACTAGAAAACCCTGCCTCTCCATCCTTGTATACCTGGGAGGAAGGAGCAACTAGGAAACCCTGTCTCTCCATCATTGGGTCCTTGTATAGCTGGGAACAGGGGCCAGCTAGGTAGCCCTGCCTCTCCATCCTTGTGTCCTTGTATACTTGGGAGAGGGTGCAACTAGGTAATCCTCCCATCATAGGATCCTTGTACAATTGGGAGGTGGGACTAACAAGGAAACCTTGCCTCTCCATCCTTGAGCCCTTGTATACCTGAGAGGAAAGATAAATTAGGTAACCCTGCCTCTCCATCCTTGCTTCACTGTATAACTGTGAGGAGGGACCAACTAGGAAACCCCGCCTCTCCATCCTTGGGTCCTTGTATACCTTGGAGAAAGGAGCAACTAAGCAACCCTGTCTCCCCATCATTGGATCCTTGAATAATCGGGAGAAAGGAGCGACTAGGTAACCCTGCCTCTCCATCCTTGGATCCTTAAATATTTGGGAGGAAAGAGCAACTAGGTAACCCTGTCTCCCCATCATTGGGTCTTTGTATAACTGGGAGAAGGAGCTAACCAGGTAACCCTCTATCCTTGGGTCACTGTATATCTGAGGGGGAAGGGGGCAACTAGGTAACCCTGTCTCTACATCTTTTGTATACCTGGGATCAGGAGCCAATTGTCATAGTCCTAACTTAGTTTCTGTTCTTACATTTTTTTTGCCTACCCTACAAAGGAAATGACATTGAATACCACTATAAATTGAAGCAAAACTACATAAAGTCTAACATTTCTGTCTCGGTATATATGTGTCTACTTTTGTATTATTTTGTTCACTTGAGTTGTGTGCTGATATTATTATTTTTTTTTTTATACAGTTGCAGAGAGGGGATTCCTAAAGGATTGTCCCCACTTTAAACTTGTTGTGGACACCTGTTTATTATATGGGAGCCACATGTGTGGTGTAATTCTAACATAGTTTAATATCGTACTAGGTAAGAGGTAGAACAGCTTTATACAGACATGGTTTGCATTGGCCCCAGCTTCTTTCCTAGTCGGCATGTATCTTACCTGCTAGAAGTGTCACCCATTGGGATTCTTAGTAGATCTTTTTAGTATACGTTGCTCTCCATTTTCTGAATGCTTAACAGCTTGTATTTATAAGTGCTCTTGAGACATGTCCAAAACGTAAAATGTCTGTAGCAGTCCCTTTTTAATGGTTTGTTCAATCATTTTTTTTTTTAAAAGGAGAACTCCATCCAAGTGTGTTTTTTGGGGAGGGGTCTTTAACTGATATGTAAATATTGCTTATCTCCACTGCAGTTATAGTGAGCACTCCACCTATTGTGTGTATTAATCGGATTTACAATTCAAACCTATAAAAAAAACAACAAGCAAAATAATGTTAGTATCTGTAGTAACCAAAAGCATCCTCAGCCATCTCCAGCTGATCTCGCTCCCATACCCAGAAAGCCGATTGATCACTATGGTTCTGCTCACGTTGCATATCATTCTTGCTTGTTGCATTGTCTTACTGAATAAATGTAATACACTTAAGAGGTATATATACTTACCTCTGTATATACCACACAAGAGTACAAGATGCTTTAAGTTTGCAGATAGAGGTAGCAGTGGTAAGTAATATCTACACTTTTCTTCCACCCATAATCACTTGCATGGAGACCGGTAAATCTACCATCAGTACAAGAATAATTGCAGAAACATATTTATGCTTATTTGATCGCTGGTCCTGGTCACATAGGAATTGACACTTTTACCACTGTTTATAGAAACCAAAATGCTGCTACATCAGAGGCTGAAAACCTGGGTTCAGAACTATCCCTTTCTTCTCTGGTCTACAGCTGCATATGATTTGTCTTTTGTATTTATTAACTACTGCTTTAATGATTCAACACTAAATGATACCTTTAACTCAACTGTATAGTGGATTGTTTATTGCAGTGTCATTATATTGCTATACTAATTGGGTAATTGAAGCTATAATGCTAAATGGTGTTTTCATTTGTCTGGTAACAGCTTATACGGGACTTTCTATCTCTGACCCCAGTCCAAAGCTGGCCATACACCTAATAGAAAAAAAAAATCTATAGAAAATCTATCGGCCTCTGATCAGATGGAAAAAGTACAACAGATTCCTCCATTTACATTAAACTGTGTGGATGGAGGAATCTCCACCTGGGCCAAGCTTCAGTATTTTGCTAGTCGGCCCTGAATTATGCCTGCATCCAATCAGATTGCTCAGGTATTTTTGACAGCCAGCGGGGCCGACTAGCAAGATACTGAAGCTTGGCCCAGGGGGAGATTCCTCCAGCCACACAGTTTAGTTTAGATGGAGGAATCTGTTGCACTTTTTCCATCTGCTCATAGGCTGATGGAAAAAAACTAGGTGTATGGCTAGCTTAAGATAGAGATTGTGGAAGGTTAAGGGTGGATCTGCACCTTTGTCTGTGCGGTAACAGATTTGGAAGTAAGATGACATCCGTACAGGATGATAATATTCCAATCCTACGGGGGTAGGCAGCCTCAGCATTCCACCTATGGTGAAACTACAAATCCCATGATGCATCTGTCTCAATGTCATACCTGTGGCTGTCAGTCTTGCAATGCCTCATGGGACTTGTAGTTCCATAACAGCTGGAGTGCTGAGGTTGCCTACCCCTTCAATATCTGCTATATTAGGTCACAAAACGATATGCAACATTTGGTGGCACAGAGGGTATCTTTGCACATTGCTGCAATGAGCTGTATATGCTCCTAAGTACACATATACTATGTCAAAACATTTAGTGGCATTACCGCACACCCCAATGCACAGATGTCATGTCCAAATATAGTGCAGTAGTGATTTTTTTTTTGTGTGTGTGTATTGAGGCTTGTTCAAGACCCATTCAAAGTGAACAGTCTCCTTTAGGGCCCATTCACACCACATAATTTCCAGACCAGATTGTTTCTGGGCCCAAAATGCATCCTAATGTATCCCTGTGGTATTTCTGGCCTCTGTTCACACCAGTGCAGTCCATTCCAGACCAGAAAAATACTGCACAAGTCATTATCTCTGGTCTAGAGTGCACTGGAACTGCGGGCAGGTTCACACCATTTTCAGAACCAGATCTGGTCCGGAAAATGGTGTGAACCTGCCCTCAAAGCACTGCATAGCAATACATGAATAAACTTATTAGCTGTGCATAGAGGCTTGGCCCGTGCCTTTTTGTGCTGGTGTTACTATGGCAGCTAGCTTTGGCCAAGACTGGTATTCTGAGCAGCTTGATGGAGGAGAGACATGGACAGTATTTGACACCTTTTCTATCTCATGTATCTGTCTATTGTAAAGCGCTGTGCAAACTGTTGGCGCTATATAAATCCTGTATAATATAATAATCTCTCGCACAAAGTACTCTATTAATCTTACCATTGTTATTCCTTCACAAGGAGCAGGTGTAATTAATTCAGAAATACACAAATATGCCTATAACTGGGAAAATAAAAGAACAGGCCAAAGGGTTTGGGCATTGCCATTTAAAAAAAAAAAAAAAAAAA